TTATTCTTGTATTTTGTCTTCATATTGGTTGTATATTTCTTCAAGATCTTCTTCAGCTGTTAATTTTTTAAAACTTCTTGTGGTAAGTTAGATGTCATTAACCCAACCTTAAGCTCACAACCAAATAATGCTTTGTAAGGAGATCGGCCAATTATGCGGTGGTATGAAGAGTTTTTCTGAAATTGGACAAACTTCAATCCTACAGACCATTTTTTAGATTTATTGTCCTTCATCCATGCTCGAAGCATATTTTCGACATTCTGATTGCTACGTTCAATACTTCCCTGACTTTCAGGATGTCTTGGTCTCCCATGTACAATAATATATTCCGACCAAAGTTCATTAATTTCGTTAATAACAGAATTTACAAACTCTCTACCGTTATCAGTTTGTAAATTTTGATAAATATGAAATATATTTTCGGTACACAAAGTGAACGACCAGATTGTGAAAAAAATTACATGATATCAAATTGGAACGACCGTTTCATGAAAAAGTAACCATATCATGAAATATTTTCGTATTTCACGAAGTGTTAAAAAGTCGTTTCCATTTCATGAAGTGGTTAATTTCACTAAGTGGCTACGACATATAAAATAATATAGTAATATAGTAGTATATATAGTAATATATAGTATTCTAAATAATGTATTTGAAATACTATTTTTATAAAGTATTTGAATTTATATCCGTAAACTATTTTTCACAAAATTATTCAAGTATTAATTCGAAATATTTAAAAAAAATATATATTATACCCGAGTCTGCAAATATTTCAATAATATATGTATAATGTACAAGGATAAATACAGTCAGTTGTATAATTAACATTTTATTAAATTGTTTTTGAATCACTAGTAGGACTTTGCTTTATCTACATTCAAAATTGAAAAGTTTCAATTATACTGTGGTCGTTGCCATAGTATATATTAAATTCAAGTTCTAACACAACGGTTTTCTAATCTGAAAATAGCGTGACGAATAATAATAATGCAATAAATATTCTGGAATCGAGAATTTATACTAATAATATAACCATTCCTGAACACTGCTAAAATTAAAGTAGTAAATACTTAATTTGTGATTTATGTGTGCATGGGATCTCGCTTATAATATTCAAAAATCAAAATCAAAAAAATATGTATTTTTGATTAAAGAAATCCAGGATTTCCAAACTTTATAGACACATCACGTATTATTATTCAAAAAAAATATTGCTAAATTTTAATGAACCGTAAAATCGATTAATTTCGTGATATGCTATAACCGTGATAACCATGCTACATACATCATGCTATAACTCTTAAACTAGCCGTTTCCAAAAAAAAATTGTAATTACATTTTCAAAATCAACGTACTAAATAGATAAATTAAAAAAAAAAGTTACATAATTTTTACGAATAGAAAAATAGATGAAACTATTAATCAAGTACCTGCTGAGTAAATAATAATTATTGTCAAATTCAAATTATAATGTAATGATTTAAAATGTTTAAGCATGTAGTTATACGACAATACGTATCAAATGCTTTTTTAAATATTTTAATTCTTAAAAAATATTCAATTATATAGTTAATGAAACTCAATACACATTTTTAGTTTACTATGAGGAATGATATATAAATACAATTCATAACAACAATATTTGTTCAACTGTAGGTTTTATTGGTGTAATTATAATTTTTTCAGTTATTGTCTTGTTGACAAAAAATTAAATAAAGAAAATATTCAACATATTCTTTGGAATAAGGATTCCGTTGTCATTTATGTTTTAAATCAATTTACACATTCTGAATTAAATTGATACTTCCCGAATGTATACTGTGCTCTACTCATATTAGTGTAAAACTTAAAACAATAGTTGTCAGTTGACATCAGATCGTAAAGTAACGTATAACTGTTTACAAGGGCATAGCCAAAGGGTGGAAAATTATTCTCCCTGTCAATAGTTAAAAATAAAATTTCATAAATAATATATTAATTTTTACGAAATTTTAAATTGATCCATGTATGGCCTAATATTTAAACTGCTTATAAGTTTCTAAAATTTTATTTTTTCAATATATTTTTCTTTTAATGATAACCTAAGTATTCAAATTAACATTTCCTACCTAATGAAACAATTTTTTTTATCAAAAATTAGTTTTAATTTAATTTTTTTTAACAATACCATTTTACAAGAATATTTTTGATATATCATGTTTTTTTTTATATTTACTTTGTAAGTTATAATCAGGACTCGAAACATTATATGCTAAAAAACAATGAAATATGTGCATACTTATGAATTAAAAAAAACGCAAATATGCAGTATAATATGCAATTTTTTTTTTTTTTATAAAATATGTATTAATTACACATTATGAATAAAAATTTATTTATTTTAAAAATAACAAATTTTTTATGCAATATTTCCTTTTATAGATTTTGAAGCTGAATCCTAAATATATTCCCTAAGTCCTAAATTTAAAAAAGTAGAACTTATCATGTACATCGATTCTTAAATCATCTCTATCAGACTCTCAACCAAATATTTACCTGAATGTTAAGATGTTTTTCAATGTTTTCGTGTTTAAATTATCGCCTGTTCTGGCTTAGAATGTTTTTTTTACAAAAAATACAAGTGTATTTATATTTCCTGTACACAGTGTTAAAAAAAACCTTATCAAATTCAAGATCATGTGTTCGAAATATTTTCTGTTATTTTTGAACTTGGACCGTGGGTATATATTTTTAATTAAACTTCTTCGAACCACTATATATAGCTGAAATTATAATCTCTCTAGTTATGTCTATTTATAAAATAATATGCTATTGCTCTTATAAAAAAAGATATGAAAAATTGAAATATTTCTTGATATTTAGCCTCTTACATAAATATTTTGGTTTAAAGAAAATAATATAACATGTTACTAAAATTGAAGAAAAATAATTACTTCACACACAAATTTGTTTTTAAATCTGCCACAAAACTATAATATATACTAGCTGAATAACCCGACTTCGCTCATGTGTAGTTATTGCTTTCTCTGAATGAAATTCTTAAATCAGATATTTATTATTTACCTTCTTTCTTTTTTCCGTCCCCTAGTCCTTAAATAAATGACGTGAATTTTCAAACGAAAATAATAGCACGTAGATTGTAGTTAGAGTTAGTTTTATAATGATTAATAGCCGACCTCTCTGCGCTTCACAGCACCAAAACAAAAATACAATAAAAATCATATGATTTTTCCTAGTATATCATTTATTTTTTTCCAAATTCTTCATTATCAATCCAACACATTTGGGTAAACAATATTCTTTATTTGTCCAATTGAGGCATACACAAATAAACAATTTGGAGTGCCAACTCTTGAACAGGCCACGTATAGTTGCCCGTGTGAAAACAGGGCTTCTCCAAATTCAAACAGCATACTTGGAGCATTTGTCCTAGTGCCTTATTGATGGACATGGCGAATGATTAGCGCACGAGAAATAGCAATCGTTTGAATTCAAATGGAATGTCTGTTGGTATAAGAGGATACGTGGGATGAGTACAACTTCCCCCTTCGGTTTGCCAGTCAATATTGTGGCTTCGATTAAATTCGGCATCAATCTTTTTACAGCTAATCTTGTGCCGTTGCACAGTTTTAGTACATTCTAATTCCGTAGTAAAATAATTGATGAGCCGACCATCAAATTCAATAACCATCGCAGAATTTCTTGATATATTGCACGTGGGATTATCAATCACCTGTAATACATTATGCAAGTTAATGCAAATGCATTTCAAGCCAATTGATCATTGAATACAAATAAACCTGTATATTTAACGGCAATTTTAATGCAGAGTGTGCTGTTCGTCCGCAATCCAACAGAGTAGCAGCTATTCCAGACGAAGCAAGTGCCAGTGCAATTTTCCGTTGCGATAAAATTTTTACCAAAATGAAAGATATTACAAATATTTTACCCGTACCACCGGGCGCATCCAAAAAGTACAATCCACCGGCTTCATTTTGTGCAGCTTTTGCATGATGGTATCGTACAAATTTTTTTTGATAGTCATTTAATTTGGGAACATTTAAATTCACAAATGTTTGCAATTCATTGAAATTATACTATTTTTCTCGTCGCAATTCTCGGTCGAACAAATCATGCATTTGACGATTGGGTGAAATCATACCTAATTGTCCCAATCCTTTATTAGCGATCGTAAGGCACATATCTTCAATCCTTATTAATGCCTCATTATACATTTTCAATGTTATGATCAAATCAAAGTTTCCTGTGTGATGGCGGATTCGAATCAAAAAGTCTTCTGCCATAAAATCTCGATATTTATTCCACAATTCAATCGGATTCGATGGAAAACATGTTGATATTATTATGGTATACAGCATACGTATTTGATGTGGAGATGAAGAGAATGAAGCATCATGAAGTGATGAATCCCAATGTGCATCATTTTCCAGTAAACCCAAATGCTCACACGCTTCACGATACGTCACGCATAAATGACCATTAACTGTTCGCAAATCTTCAAATGGACGCGGCCCCACAACATTAACTAACAACAGCCGCAAATACTCGTAATAACATTAAACCATATTTGGATGAACTATGTATAGTCTTCTCATATTTTCTGCATGGAAAATACTTGGATGGCCATCAAGTGCTGTTCCTTGTTTACGCCGTTGCCATGTTTTTTGTGCAGTCCAAGTGTAATAATGCGTTACATCTGAATACAGAAAAGTTCTGGCAAATTCATCACTTGCGCACAATTGAAAAAATGTGGTTAATTTTATTAAGAGAGCGGCACGGTGGACGTGCCGCTCTCTCTTGAACATTTTCGTTGGTAAAATATACACTTTGGCCATTTTTAAAATGAACTGCCAAATGAACAACAGCAAGAAACAGTTCATACATCGGATATGAATAAATTTTCCAAAGAGCTTCATTAGTGCTGATGTAACGTCCCATTTGATATTGAGCAATTTCATCATGACTATTGTTAGCAACTACTTCGAAAACAGCCATATCACTTTGTTGACATACTTGCAAATGTATTTGATCGATTTGAACAAATTGCAATGTTCAACGTTAATGTGTGCCTTAAATATTTTCAACAGTAGTGGTGAGTATGGAACTACCCAACGATTATCAAATTCAATGTCTTGATTTTGCATTCTAATTGTTACCGTATGGCCATTATCTTCCGTAGACCAACGTCGGTACAACGGATATCCATTATCACCTGTTATTGTGTCAGAAGTCAATGCTTTTGGGTACCGTTTTGAACATTTTCCATCGATCATGCATGGAGAATTTAAATTGAGTACACCGCAAGGACCGTGGATCAAATTCTTCTTGACAACTTCAAATAATTTTGGATCAGCAATTTCATCTGGAATCTCAGCTGATATAATGCTATCAATTTGATCCGGTGTTATTTTACGTATCAGCCATATCAATATGTGTGCATGCGGCAGCCCTCTCTTTTGCCATTCGATCGAGTGCATCCAACAACGCACCTCTCCAAATACTCGAAATTTAATAATCAAATCCATCAGCGCTTTCAATTTCTGTCGAAATACACGTGCTGTTATATCGAGACGGTATGTTGGTGTCTGACCTTCAAACAAATTGATTTTTATGTCATCCCACTGTGGATTGCATGTGAATGTTATGTAGAGGTCAGGGCGGCCGTATTTGCGAACGTACGACATTGCATCTTGTGTATATTCATGCATGTGACGCGGACTGCCCATATAAGTCGCTGGTAATAGTTCAAGACTGCAATAACTCAAATTATGAAACTACTGATTTTAGAATGAAATAAACGACCTCTAGAGGTGAATAATGCAACTAAAAGTTATTGCGTTATAGAGTCGAAATCGTCGTAATTTTGCAAATAATATCACATAGATAACTCAATTTTGCATATTTTTGAGTTATTTCTGTCTTGAACTGAGGCGTCGATATCTCAATAATAGTTTTTTTGAGTAATTGCAATCTTGAACTGAGGCGACGATATGTATGTGCAGCCAGTGGCGTGCCGAGATAAAAATTTTTTTGATGCCAATCGCAAAGTCTAGTTTACTATCCACCCACCCATATTTAAATTCATCTCATTCAGTACTCATATATCAATATTTCTCAACCTAAATATATACGATAATTATGTGATTTACATATTATTATCCAAAAACCACCCACCCCTTTTTAACTTGATGCCTGAGCTTCATTTAGATCTATAATCGGCACGCCACTGTGTACAGCTGTATGCATGTTGTTTTTGGCCATGTCGCCAAGTAAGCACTTAAGAGGCCATAACTCCGGAACCACTTTTGCACAGCGTACAAACTTCACAGAAATCATCTAAATATCAATCTTAATATGTCCTAACATTTTTATCGAAATCGGTTTGGTGGATCTTGAGTTATAAAATTTATTCAAAATGTACACTTATTCTTATATACCTATATAGATTTATAAATTAAATAAAATAGTTATTAACATTTTATAATATAATAAGAAAATAAAATTGGTGTGTAGTATAAATATATTATGTTATAGACATATAAGATATAATTTATATTGAAAAAACAATAGTTATATAATTGTATAAAAAATTATAATGGGTATTGAAGACAAATTGACATGTTGAAATATTCATGCAAAGTCTTACATTATTTCTATTTTACATTTTGAATAAATTAAATCTGTAATTTTTATAATTGTTCATACTTTACAACAATAAATATCAAGTGAGAATAAAAATAATATTAGTAGCAATGGTGTCACAGTTGGGATTTAAAAATGCTGTCACAATAATAAAACATTAAGTGATTTTTAATACTAGTATACATTTAAAGTCACCAAAATACTTATAAGTAATGTTGTCTCTTATAGATCAATTCAGCAAAGCATGCATTAGTATGCAAGTAAATCTTCGTTTAACTGTAATCGTTATATAAATGAAAAAATGAATTGAACTAAGCATATTCAAATCTTTAAAAATATTATAAATTAACATAATTATATAAATAATATATTAAACATACCATATATAGCTTCGTAAATTGGTTTTGTTATATAAGTATTATAAATGAACAGTAAAATTATTTTGGGTTAATTAATTTATTAAGTGCATTATTTTTAAGAAATATTATTTATTATTTATTTTACATTTTATACCATAGTCGAGACCAGGACGATGAAGTTAAAACATTTCTTTTCAACAAAATATCAAAGGTTAATTATTTTTCAATACGTCGTGGTCCTTCTCTAAATTTACTTTTTCGGTCTTATTATTTGAACCATAAATCGCCTGCAAAATGCAAATTAATAAATAAATAGTGTTAATCCCTTATAATGTGTGTTTGGTATCCAACCTGAATGGCTTCCACGTCATCACTACTTAAGGTGAAATTTGGATTATAACCTCGATCAATTACAAACATTACAGAAGATTCTTTTTTGGAGTGAAATAATCCTAACGAGTGGCCCAATTCATGAACTACTCTTTGGAACAAATTTGTACCTTTGAAACAAATGAGAAAATCCTGATTTATTATATGAAATAATGGATTTAACTTTCAACGACGAAAGCAATTTTCAACTTTTGAAAAATCTCAATAATACTATTTTATTACTATATCGATATAACGTCAGGATAATAAGAAATAATATTATATATAGAAGTAAACAGTATAAAAAAAATGTTAAATAATTATTTATATGTACGTCAGACTCTAATGATTAGAGTGATATATAGCAGTATACGATTATTGTTAATTTTGAAAAATATTATTAGAAAGTATATTAAAAATTACTATTATTAGTCTTAAATAAACAGTAATAGATAATTACTAGAAAAAATTGAGTTTAAATTTTACCTTCCTTTGAATTGACTGACCACTTTATCGAACCATCAAAATAAATATCACTAACGTATTTTGAATTAAAAGTATGTGACAATACAGTATAAGATGAATTACGATCACCATGTTTACCTTCTTCAAATCTGATATTAATATTCACCTAAGAGAAAATAATTAAAAAATAAAATTACCAATATTCCAATTTATTATATTACATAACATCGATTAATTAGTTGGAAATCTAATTTCTTTTATAAAATATTACAAAAATATAATTACATACAAATTATTATTATAAGATAAATAAGTCATCTTATTTTATTTCCAACAAATTTATTTTCGTCATACATACTCTAATATACTTCAATAACTTAAACACCTAGATAATTTGTTTAACACATATTTAAAAACAGTATGGTGTTAAGTTTAAGTTTAATAACCTTAACTACTAACCAGTGCCGGCCCTAGGGGGTGTCAAACGGTGCGACCACACCGGTCTACGCACTTGTATGGGACCCCACAAATTATGAATTACGAATATAATTTTATCTATAAATAAAAATAATATAGTCCAAGTAGTACGAAAATTGCGACCCGTGCGATCTTATGATTTTCTCAAGAAACGATTTATTATCAACGAAAATTAAGGCGATACCTACCTATACATATCTTATACAGTATTATACCCATATGTATTTTTAAAATTTCTTACCGTCGATGATGGTTCAAAATATATTTAGTTATTTAATAAAATATATTATATAAATAATAAATAAATTAATATATATGGGGCCCTGCAAAATTCTGCGCCGGGCGCCGAAAACTATCGGCCCGGCACTGCTACTATAAATTAAATTATTAAATGTCGACAAATAACCAAACTTAAATAAAAATATATTAAATGTTTATTCTGGACCTTTCCTGACATGTGATCAAGTCAAAACAATTATTACTTAGAAACCTAACCTCACCACATTTATATTCAAAAACGTCCATTTCAAAAACTCACCTATCCTCTATATTACAGCAATTAGTTATTTTTATGTTATATTTTATGAATTAAAGTTATACAATTTTTAATAAAAATTATAAAATATTATAACTAATGTTTTTAAGTAAATATATTTCGTATTATTTTAACCTTACTTTTCCAGATTTTTTGTGGGTGAACCTCAATGGAGTGACTTCAGACCATAAATCGAATGCTCTTCGGATTTCTGAATCTATTACTGACTTATCTAGCTGTTTAGGATACTTAATTATATTATAAGTCAAGTCATTTATCTCCCACTTTCTATCTATAAACAAATATATATATATATTTAATCTATATATAATATCTATGTAATAATTGTATGGGTGAAAAAATATTTTTGGTTTGACAATTGAAATAAAAAGTTTTTTATACATTGTTTTTTCTTGTAAATAGGATGAAAAGACCGGTATAGCTACCTCCGCAAAGCTTCAACCCTCAATGGCACCTCCCGCAAAATATAATATGATAATGAAACACCACCTCACCTCCACGCTAACAAGGAAACCGGTTTGAATTAGGCGGGAGGAGTTATTGAAGATTAAGGATTTGCAAGGGTAGCCGTGTCGACCACTTCATCCTACTCAAGATCTTGGGCGGATCCAGATGGATACTGAAAGCAAGTTTCATCTCCGTTGGAAAACAATATTAAAAATAAAGTAAATTTAGAAGAACTAAATAATAGATAATAAAAATCAATTTTGACGGTTTTAGTAGTAAATTTTCACATTATTTTTCGGGGAAGTCTACGACTCCCCCCTCAAAACACCCCTACATATGTCTATGATCTTATGATCTGCTATATAATATAATTTCGCCTACAAAGTGCCTCGACCGTAAAAAGATGTTGGATCCGCTTATGCATTTTGTGTATAAAATACCGAAAATCCTTAGTTTAAAATAATTATGAATGAATCCGTATTGAAGCTCATTTGGACCTACGGTATACAAGCTTGAAAAGTGCTAAGTCTTCTTGAATTTGTACTATTCAAGCGTTCCTCTTCGTATCATTGACTTAGCGCCTTGGAATATTTCAAATTATTCCCTTCACGATGACCTCAAAATAAATAATATAAATCACCTTGCAAAAAACTTAACTTAATTTACATCACAAACACCATTTCCACTCAAACTACCTAATGTTCAAAAATTGAATTTTCGTTTAAAAAATATTTTCATTACGCTATTACACTGTTGTTACATTTCAAAATGTTCGTAACTATATATTCTAAACTTTACCACAACAACATTTATAACTATTTTCATGTTATATTTTATTTACTATGTGAGATATATCTTCTGGTCCTAGTCGGAACAAATTCGCCTACATCTTGATTGCCGCATCTAGGCTTGCTCATTAAGTGCAACGTATCATTATCCAGGCGACCTTCAAAATCATAAATAACATAAGTGATTATGCATTGTCAATAAATAAAAATATATGTCCAAAAATGGTGGCCAAAATTTTTCAAAAAACATAAACGTATAAATATATATATATATAAACATAACAAATTAGTAGCTATACGCATTGGCAAAACTGTTCATGAAACAAAGAATCTATTGTCCACTCAGTTTTTGATTGCATGCATGCAATATAATATACATATACATAATATACATATATATTATATGTTGTAAATACACTAGAATTTTACATTTACATTTTCATAATCCTATGGTTAAAATATGTATATCGTCACTCCATTAATCATAGTATACATAAGTATAAATATATATTCACCATAAGCATAATCAGGTTTTTATTTCGGCCGTAAAACAACAAATCTTAACTACCAAGATAAGCCCTTTAAAACACACAAGTAATTGTATGCCTCATACTTTTGGTCGTGTAGTGTGATGGGCGACGAAAGGAAGTATTTCGTGTGCAAGCAACTAAAGAAGTATGTATCATGAACAATTTATTTGAGAATTATGTAATTATAGACTGGTTATCGCCGCAATCGTTGTTAAATTTTTATTACAAAAAAATTATTTATTTTGCTAGAAATTAAAAATAATTATAGGTCATATATAAAACAAATTCATAGATCCGGGTGTTCGGAAAATTGAGATCGTCGAATTTCATGTCCATCCCTAGTATCTACGCCAGCTGAAAAGTGCTGTAACGTGACTATTCGGTATTCGTTAAGAATAGCGAATGTCCGCCGAGAGTTATCTAACGGAATTCCTGCTATATAGCTGGTTAGCTGGACCATTTCTGCACTGGATACTCTAAAGTTCCCTGATTAATATTTATAGCTCTGTTACGGCACTCCAAGAGCTCGTCAACATCATAAAACATATAGTTATCAAATGAGTAACATGATGATTTTTATTACTTAAATATAAATTATAGTAAATTAAATGTATACATCTAATTATTGAATCACAGCGTTGAACCACAAATAAAATGAAACTTTGATGTTATCTGTGCAATATTTTATGCACAATGAACTTAATATTGTTCCGATAATAAGTTACGTTAAGATGGTAATATGTCAATTGGTCTACTACTCGTATCATTGACCGTTGACGTTGTGAGCTGTATCTCCCCCCCATCGCTCAATAATATTTTAGGCGTACGAGCCGATTTAGCTAAAAAACGGTGAAGTGTTAGACTTGCATAAAGGAGCCATAACGGTGCATTTGTACTTTATTGTATTTTCATAACCTATATTAAATAAATATTATTGATATCACGACTAAATATCCCGGTCCCCAAATACAAAGAGCAAATCCTACATTTATTGACGAAGTTGTCAATCTTTTCGCAGAAACAACTAATAAAAACTTCTATGCAGAATAAAACAACCTACCTTCTACGTGATCACATCATTGAATGCATTTATAACGTAATTTAAATAGACTTTGATTATAACAATCATCATTATGTTTTATATTTTTTCACTTTTATTTCTTTCGATTAAAGAATGGGTAGTATGCATTTTTATTGAATGCATGCTTATTGTTGAATACATTTTATTATTCTACGCTGTTGCGTAATCGGATGTGTAATCATAACATGTTTTATTGTATAGTAAATATTAAAATCACATATCACTACATCGGTATAGAGTCGATAGGTCAACATTTAATTAGAATAACTCTTCGCACAATGCAACACTGTACATTATATACAAGCAAAACGTGGGACACACCACTTACATAGAACATGATGATAATTGAATAGGAAAGTAAGAATATGCCTAGAAAAAGATCATTAATATCCTGGTTTACGCTCTTTGGTCGCGATGGGGATCACTGAATTAGCTCATCAATGTACTATATCAAACGAACTATAAGATAAAATTATTATTATCGTTGGATAAATAATGTTTAAATGAATAAAAAAAAAATCGGATTGATTTGTTAGCTAGTTTGCGTACTTTGTTATGTAAATTCACTTTTCAGATTCACTGACATTGGGCCGATTTATTTGGCGATATCAGATCAGATGATATGACACACTTACCTGTCAAGTTTAAACCAAAGAATGACTGAAACTCCCTAATTGCTTTGACCATTGCTTCCTCGGATATAATATTAGCTACATTCGAATTTTTCATAGATGGTTTCAAGTAACCATATTGAGATAAATAAGTCTGTAAAATAAATGATCACATCAATTTCAAAATCATATTCAAATCAAAACTTAAATAATTTCTTAATTTTAATGTTCAGTAATGACGAAAACACAACTAATAAATATATCAGTTATCGTAAAGAAAAAAACAAAATTAAGAATCCTGATAAAAAATGATTATATTCCTCGTAAATGTTTTACGTTCGTATGTGTTTAATAAAATAAAAATGTATAATCAGTTATTACATGTAATAAAAAAAGATGAATAATATTACCTTCAATAAATGGTTAATATGTTCGAAAATGTTCATAAACGTAATCCAAAATGTAATGTTTAAAAAAAATGCAACGGAAAAACAGTAACGTCAGCATTTCGGTTTAAAATGGAAATGTGATCTATAAATCCAATCATCGACAATTGTATGGAATAATAAGACTTAACTCAAGTGGACCTCATTACAAACACGTTTCGATAAAAAAAAACCAGTGGTCGATCGTGATCGATACATTAACATAATACGATAAATGCAATCGTAAACAGATGACGGACTTTCTGCCGTCACGACCAATGGCAGTCTCAACTTGTCGACCATAAATTTGTAGCCCGTGGTTAAGCGTAACACACATGATGCGACACACCAACCACTTTCCGACCACTCACCATCAGCAGGATAAACGAGATTATTCAAGTATATTACATTATTATTAGGTAAGTTCGGAGTAATAAAAGTAACAATAGTGCTTTATCTTTTTGAAATCTATTTTGGCTGTAAATAAAATTTATTAAAAATAAAACTAATAAAAACAAAAATATGGACTGTACGCCATATTTTTGGTCGTGATGTGATTCTATCGTCGTCGGTTTGGAATTCTAACAAAAACAAAAAAATGGTTCATAAGTGGTCGATGACGACCGCGAGCGACCATCGTCTTGTGGTCGTAGCGTGGGTGTAATGTGGTCCGTGCGAGTTGAACCTAAAACGTTTCAGGATTTATTACTTCATTTTTGTCGTGGAAATTTTGTAAAATTTGCCTTCGTGTAATTTTTTTAACTTGCACTAAGAACAAATTCTAAAAGTACACCAAAAAAACATAATATGTTCAATATATTACATAATAATTGGCTCAATTGATACCTTTACCTATGTCGATTTTATGAAAACAATTTTTAATGTACGTACCTCGTAAATTTACATACAATTTTATGTTTATGTAGACATATATTATACTTGGTAAATAACGATAAAATAGTAGGAAACTGCGTACAACATAATAATTACTTCATACGCAGTTTCTTACAATTTTATCAGTTATTGATTCTCACAAAGGAAAAATAGTCATTGACAATAACTTCTATCGGGCATCTATAAATTCGTAATTTATTGTGTATTAATTAGCTTGATTGTTATTTAAAAATTTAATTAATCATTTATTTTGCATATTCCACGTCCATCGCATGATTATAGACCTGTTATGAACAAACTCGAACCTTGTCCCTGGCTGATAGAAGAGTTGCAGCTAATTTGGTGTTTTTGCATAAGCTGATTGACGGAAATGTGGATGCTCCCTTTCTCCTTTCTCTAATTAATTTTAAAGTTTCCTCTCACATAACTAGGTCTAATTCTCCCTTTGTTATTCCTTTTCACAGCACAAACTACGGTAGAAATAATCCTATTCGTCGTATGATGCACGTTTGTAACGAGCACCTATGATTCTTATAATACACTTATTAATAAGACTTCAATATTTTATAATTATTTTTACCTTTTATTTACTTTTGTTTTATCTTTATTTTTTATATAATTTCCATCTATCTATTAGATTGTTTGGAGTTACTTACTTTATTGTTATATTTTTCGTATTTATTATTATAAATTGTGTTCACTTTTGGACTCCTAGCCCGTTCATATATATATATATATATATAAATAAATAAATAAATAAAAACACTGACCACTGCTTGTTCGTTGGTTAGGACTCCAAAAACACAACCCAACATGTAAGATAAAAATACTAGTCCCAACACGACACATGATTTACAAATCGTCATGATTGTTGTAGTGATGATGTCACACGCGAACGAACGTTTTCACAACTTTTTTTAGGATATACAATTTTACAACGTGTAGAGATTGTTGGTGGCTATGATCTTCACGAGGTCGGTTAAGGTTTTCGCGACGAAAAAAAATGTCGGAATAAAAATAAATCACGAGTACGTGTTGATTTTCGTAAGCAAATAAACATCTAACATCATTACGGAGAACAATCCCGACTACAGATACCCGACCTCTTCGCACAGTTCACCGTCTATACTCGATAATATCGATCCCCCTCCTCACTCCGATAACATTTGTTCAAAATACACATAATAAACGGCAGTGTTGCATTAAATAACGAACCTCTCAGTACTCAACGGCGACTTTTTAGATGAGAGTGTATGGATTTTAATCATCTTTTTCGTAATTATTTATAACGTATAGTTTAGTAGGAATCCAATTGAAAATATAAAGGATTGTGATTTATCCACGAATGTCTAATTTTATCTGTAAATACACATGACCATTTTGACATAAAAGGATAATAATATTATTTTTGTACAATTTACTTCTTATACAATTAGACATAACTATTATGTTAGTAGGAGATATTAATAAAATACCAAGAAAATGATTTTTAACTGAAAACAGTAGAGAAAAAGGGTTACCTACTTAATTTTAAAGAATGCTAGCATATACCTAACAATTGCGTTTAAAACCGCTATCAATTAACGAAGCCACTAATACGTAATTATAGGTAGGTGACTCACAGTTAGTGAGTTGAATGAATGTTAATTTTATAGTAGCGTTGGGTTGTATTTGAATATAATACTAAATTATATTAATAGTGCTAAAAATATTAAAAATTAAGATACCTACGAACCAAATTACTGAAGAGAAGAGAAACAATTATAGATGGGTATTAATTTTAATAATATTTAAATTATTTATAAATATAAATTATAATTAATATGTATGTTTTTTGCGCTTAAGCCGACGCAGCACCACGCCTACCCGTAGCTACGTCTATGCCGTACGCAATTAAAATATAATAAATATGGAGATCCAAGACTCACACGTCGTTTTCGGTTCGGTCAGGTTGTAGCGGGATGACATCCTTTATAATACATAATAACAAAAATGGAAAGACTACAATTTAATTTTTTTTTTTTATACAGCTGTATTTTTTTTACACTGATTACAATAATAATAATTCAGCTTATAATAATGAACAAAGTATGTGACAATAAAATTACAATTAAAACAATAATAATAAGGGAGACACAGCTCCCGTTACCACGGTATAACCGAGTCCCGTTGGATAACTCACAACACATGCGACAGAAACTATACTGACCGGAAAATGCGGAGTCTCCTCCAACAAACAGGGATAGATCACGGAGAAAAACTTCAGTGACGAATCACACAAAAAAAAACTAAAAATACAATCCAACAAACGCGACGGTTCAGCCACGAAGAGGAGTCACTCGAAGACAGCACCGCCGATCTCGAAAATTTTCTCTACAGCCCTGGCAAATATATCGATCCAATAAGATGTCGGACTGGTTCCGGGCACTCCGAGATTAATGGTTGTGCGTCTCAAACAATGTAATAATTAATATATCAAATTATTAATCGTTATAAACAATTTAGAGATTCGTTTTTGGTTGGACTTTTTTTTTTTTATATAAAAAAAAATGAATTGAATAATGATTATTTTAAAATATATTATTATAATCATAGACACTAGGTTTTAAAAAACTTAATGGGTGCCTTACCCAGCCTTGGTATCATAGGCATAAATGCACAATTTGGGGAATAGGGCTTAGCCCTTGGTCAAAACAAGAGCTAGAGATACAATAACAAATAAGAGCTACAATAACTGGAGCTCTAGGCATACCTCATGGAACTAGTATCAAATTAGTCCAATTGGTAATAGTATAACAATATTTAATATAATTGAAAATTTTCTATTGTTAACAGAAAAAACATTTATCATAGTTTACACCATAGAAAAAACAGAAGCTATGTTCTTTTGATTAAAAGAAATTATTTGTGAAATTATAAAAAATGTATCTCCAATTTGAATTTTCAGGATCAAGGATAAAATTTTAATAAAAAATAAAAACTTTTTAATTAATTATATTGTGCAATTTAATCAGTTCAGTCACAGTATGTTTAACTCCAGTTTTGTCATATTATTATTTTTTTTTAAATTTCTTGTTAAAGTTAAACTCCTTGTTGAAGTTATAACGGTTGAAATTATACTCTTATTTCTAATCATACAATAATTAAAATAATGATCTCATTAAAAGGAACATGAGAATATTAATTGTCACTTGATAATTTTCCCTCTTACATCAACATTTTGATTAAACGAAAATAATATTACATGTTACTTAAAAAAAAATTGAAAGAAAAATAATTACTTCATATACAAACTTGTTTTCTAATTCGGCAACAAAACTATACATAATTGTAAGTTAAATACAATTAGTAACACTTCACAGCATGAAAATAAAATTGATAGTATAATTATATTGTATCATAAGATATAAAATGAGATTAAATAAAAAAAGGTATATACAATAGCTTGAAGTAATGATGACAATTGAATAAAATATTTATGCAATGTTTTACATTAGTACTGTTTAAAAATTGTTTACATCAGATTAAGTTTGTAATTATTGTAATTTTTTATTTCTAATCATTTATTTTGTTATCATACAACAAAAAATAACAAGTATTGATAAAAATAATCATAGTAAAAGCAGGATTAAAGTTAAAATTTAAGTTTGTCATAATAATCAAACATTTAAAGGTTATATGATTATCAATTAGTAGTCATCAGAAGACTTTGTAGACATGTTATCTGTTCTGAATTCAATACAGCCAAGCATGCATTAAATACCTCTTCGTTTGACTGTAATCATAATTTAAACAAAAAAATTAATTAAAATAAATAAATATTTTCAAATCCCTAAAAATATAAGTTAATATAATTATATAAATAATAATATACTTTATATATATGTTGTAAACTTTGTTTTGGAATAAATAGTGAAAATATATGTAACCACAGTTACATGAAACAATTAATTGGTGTTCATAAATAAACATTCAATATACACAATATTTAAATTTGTAATTAGTTAACACAAAATATCATATCTTTATTACCTGAATTTGTCTCACAATCATGATCATTCGTTGGGCAACAGCATGTGACCTATCAATTGCATCTCTCAAAAAGGCTTCAGCAATAATCCGTATTAAACTAGGAATATTAGAATTGTTAGATCCCAATACCATGGGATGATGATTTTCAATAAGTTTGCATAGGTAACCATATACAAATGGAGCTTCATCTGTGTCTTCACATACTGGTAAATTACACAACCTGACAAAATAATATTAAATATAATTTCAAACTAAATAAGGTAACATTTTAATGTATTCATACCAATGTGGTAATATTTCTTCAACATTAACAGCCGAACTATTAAATTCTAATATTTTGGCAATAGCCGATACAGCATTTTCTGTCGCACTAATGTTATCAGTAGAACGAGAATCAGCACTATTGATAACTTGTAAAAGGAAGGGCATGATCTCGGCACAAACACCAGCAAAGCTAGGTCCTCCACACATTCCCAATACTCCACATCCATAAATAGCTGCTTGACGAACTTCACTGTTATAATCAGTAACATAACTAACCATTGGTCTCAAAAAGTATTCTTGATACTTAGCACAGCCAGGTCCACAAAATTCAATAAGATCATCAAAAACACAAAGACCCCATTGATGATCTGATGAACTCTTTTCAGACTCCTATAAAAGCATAATAGTTAAGAAAGTATAATCAATAAAATAAGTTAATATATTAAACATCTACCAATAGTTTAGCAAACTGATGAACAATAAGATCAAAGTACTGGAAAAAATCTGTTTTATAAGTGACAAATAGCGCATGTAAAATGTCGGTCATTTTGCTCAACTTATAGACATCATTTGTATCTTCCATCGCTAATTTTTCCTCAACAACCTAAAAACATACATATTGTGTAATATAAAATTAATAATAATAAATAAATATTCATGTATATTATACCTCATCATAATCTTCATCTTTGCGTCTTTCAAAACGCATAATTTCATTTTCAAAATGTGAATTTAAATTTTTTTCTAATATTACCAATAAATCTTTCATCCATTTGTCTGATAAACATCCATGTCCCAATAATTCTATACACTATAATTTAACAAATTAAATACAATTGGAATAATGGTCAGAGAAAAATATTCCAAAATTATTTACTTTTCCAAGTGCTTCGTACATCTCAGCAGCAACATCCGATTCTGGTTCAGATTCAATAGCTTGTAAAAGTTCTGGACAAATATAACCCCACATGTGTTGTAAATATTCGGATCCTAAAATGCATAAAAACATATTTTAGAGAAAATATTACAAACAGTTAAAATTCAGAATATTCAACATACCTCTAGTTTCTGCACACTCCAAAAGACAAGGCATACTTTGAGCAGCAGCTATTCTAACATTATCATGAAAATAAAACTTCAACAAAGGTACCATAAGCTTAACAACTTCTTCTGTATAAGGAGCAAAACCATGTTTCAATTCTCTAGCATAGCAAACAAGCATTTCACAAGCTGATGCTTTATCTTCTAAACCAGAAGTTCTAATGCCAAAATTTTGTTGTTCCCCTAATGATACAAATTGCCAATCAGTATTGTCTGTCATGTTTCCCATGTCATCATTATCCAGTAATGCAACTTCAGGCTTCAGGGAAGCAGCAGCCATAACAGGACCAATCACCAATGGAAGATATTGTTCAAATTGTTGACCTGAATAGTAAAATAATAGAAAATTATTTATAATTTGAAGAATAAATAAAATAATATATCAAAACATACCCATGACTTTACACATTCGAGCCCAAGATGATATCAAATATGAGGTTTGTGGATCATCTTCTGCGAGTTTTTCATCTTTATTATGTGTTGCCAACATTAAATCCATTATATCACTAGCATCTCCCAAAAACTAGAAATAAAACACAATGTTACAAATCCAAATTAAACCTGAATGGGTTTATTTTCTAAATTCTCACTTTCTCTTGGCCAACAGCTAAACCAATCAAGCTAACACATTCTATTGTCTTCCCTCGTAACAATTTAAGTTCAGGAGCAACAGCACTACAAATAATTTGCTTCAGGCATGGCATTAGATGATCATAAAACTTAATAAAACTTCCTTCACATGTGTCTGCTACTGATGCAATAGTAGTAACCATTTGTTCTAATACTAGACGTCTACCACCACCTTCCATAAGATCAACAATACGAGCTTGTAATATGCTTTCTAGCTTTATCATCATTTGATCCATGTAAGTTAAAAGTATTCTTTTTGGACAATCTTCACAAAAATTTACAAGAGCAGCCCCTATTTATAATAAAAAAAATATTGAAATCACAACTTTTAGGAGCAAAGAAAATAAGCTCATTTTCAATAGGTTTTCATAGCGTATATAGAATTAGTCCATAACATAGCATTTAAATTCAATTTGTAGTACTTATATAATTTTCTATACATTTGTTGAGTATAATTACATTTTTTAGATTTTGGTTAAGACAAAACACTCCTTAAATATAAACATTTATACATTCAATTTTAAAGTTCAATAATATATAAAATAATAAATAATATCAAATTTAAATATTTTATAGTGCAACTCATAGTACATATTAATTGATAATAACTACCTGCATGTGCTTGAACTCTAGGATTCAAATTATCATCAAGTAGTAATAAAATAGCTGGCACAATTTTATCATGGAATTTCTTTTGGAATGTAGGAGCAAAATCTGCTGACATCTGACCAATAGCATTACACATTGCATATCGTACTCTAGGATGCTATAAATAAATAATTGTAATAGGAAAATATTATTTTGAGTACTGATCATAAATTACTTACAGGATCATGTAAGAAACTTAAAATGCCATCTAAAATATCATTCAACACAGTTTGCATTTGTTTATGACAACCTTCACCAACTGCTGATATTGCCATTAAAGCAGCATGTCTAAGTAAAAACATTTCCATTAATTGATTCAATATTAATATAATATAGATAAAATTTTTACCTAAATTTCCAATCTGGATTTGTCAGCATTGGAGAAACATTAGTTAATATCTGTGGCAACATAGTTTTTCCGCCAAGACCACAAGCAAGCCTATCTAGTGCAGATTCAGCCATAACACTCATACTTGAAAAATAAATAAAAATATAAAAAGCTTAAAATTAATTTAATAATTAAAAACGAAAATTTTTCTTAAATAATAAACAATTACCTTTCTTGGTCACTTTCATCTGGATCATCTTGAGTACCCCAATCATCTTCATCTTCAACAGTAGCCATAAGTTCCAATACTTGTATAACTAAACGAGTAATATATTTAGGCGATTCTTTACGCATCATTGCAGGTGCTGTTTCAGCTAATGTTACAATTACTTCAAGGCACATTTGCCGATAAGATTCATTTGCCTCTTCATTTTTGAGATACTAAAAATATACAAAATATAACTCAGATCAACTTTAATAAAAAAAAAAAAAAAACAATTAAGTTACCTTTAAGCACATGTCAATAATATAAATCAACTGAGATCTCAAAAACTTTGGTGTATTTTCTGCCAAGTCTATTAATAGTTTAATTAAAGAATCATCATCTTCAGCAATCAAAGTAGCATTTATTACCTATTATAAAAAAAAAAAGTATATTAATATTAAGTTATCATCTAGCATAATTTAATTATAAGTCTTACTCTCATCATATTAGGTAATAAGTCAGTAAATTGTTTTTGAACTTCAATAACTTTCTCATGATGTAAAATAAAAGAACAAATTGATTTAATTGCTTGGATTTGGACCTAGACAATTAAGATTCATTATTTATGTTTATAGACATTGCATGGATAATGACTTACATTTATATCAGGTACATTTAATGCTTGAATAAGCATTTGTTTAATTACTATTAAATAGTTAGACTGTTGATTACCAAAAACTCCAGGTACACTCCTACAAATCAATTAACATTTTAAAAACTAATATAATTAACAAAAGTAAATTTAACTAACGTGAACAATCTCAGTGCAGAATCTTTCATTTCAATAGAAGGAGAACTAGCACATTGAAATAGGAAGTTCAAAAATTCTGGCCAGTTATTATTACCATCATCGTCTAACTGATTTCTAGCAACCTCTGAAGCAACATCACACATGCGACGACGTAATACATCATTTTTTTCATTACTTATACTTAACAACAAATTTTCTTTAAACTGTTTTTGATTTTCAGGAGATAACTAAAGCAATAAACAAATCATTAGTTGTATGATAACCATATTAATATTCAGATAAATATAGAATCTAATACTAACATTAGGGAAGAATTCTAAAAAATCATTGGCCATAAGTCGGCGTAACATAACGGCAGCCACTTGTTTTTCATCAACATCTCCTGCTTGGTTTTGCACAGCATTGAATAAGTATAACACTTTTGATTCCAAAGGTAATGATTGATAAGTTTCCTATAATAAAAAAAAAATGAAAAGATTTTAAAAAAATAATAAATTTATTTGTTACTTAAAAATGAATAAGATTATTACATTATATACAATGTTCAAATATAAAATCCAATAACGCAATTAAAATATATTATGAATAAATATTATAGATATTTATTAGTATAAATATATACTTATTGCATGAATTGTTGCAGATTATATATTCTTGTTTATTCTTAATAAAAAAAAAAAAAGTAAATATTGTAAAACAATCATTTCAACTTCTTAGACCTTTGCATTACAATAATGGGATGTTAAAGAGAACCAACCTACACTAACCCAAAAGCATCACATTGAATCAAAACATACATTAATTCTCAAGGTATTTGTATAAGATTAAATATGCAAGACAATATTTCAAACATTTGTGATGAACATTTTTAAACAGTATATTCAATCATCTCTTTAAGTTATCATAGGATAATTCCATCATAAGTGTACAACTTGATAATATTATAACTCAGTTATAGTAGTGCACAAGAGCTATAATGAAATCGAGGCAAGAGCAACAGGTAGCCGCCACCACTGAGTGACACCCAACGGATAGCATAGTTGAACACGGCGAGCAACTTTCGAAGCACACGGTTGTGTGAAGCAAGGAGTGCACAGTCATGGGCTACCGAAGGATAAAGTTTGACGGACAAAAAAGACAGCTGAGAATCGATGTGACCATCGAGGAGATGAGTGCGTGGTGATGACTTTGATCAAAATCCGTGCCGGGTCGGTCGGCGGAAGGGTAAAAAAAAAAAGAAACCCGGACCGCCGTCTTGTACGGTCAACCGTTAATGGGTCGTGACAACCATTATCATATCGTGTATACCTCGGCCGTCTGGCGCACGTTGTTGTCGGTGCTCAGCAGACTGGTGAGTATCTGATGGAAATCGTTCATGTCTCCTGCGGCCATGGTCCGGGTTAGGTGTGCACCGGGGCGGTGCAGCGGTCGGCGAGCGAAAAACGGCGAGACGACGACGGCGGAAACTAAGGCGATGTGTGCGCGAAAACGGTTTCGGGCGACGAACGTTCGGCAATTGCGATGGGCCGCGGGCGGGCCGTGACGGTTGCGAGCGACGGTGGTGTACTTTTATGGCACGCTGCAAACGCGTTGAAAATGTTGGTTACGAATTAATACAGTAATAGTAATAATAAAAAGATTAGTAACAGTAGGATGAAAAAAAATATATATAGGTAATACGCACGGTATAGTAATAACAATGCTGGTGCATATCCCAGCGACGCAGTGGTGTCCAACGTGCGCGACAGTGTGACACGTTGCGAGATTGCCGCCTTTTTCATCGCACCGCATGCACTGTCGCGACGGGACCGCGCGAAACGATAACGCCGCGCGTGCGCAAACTGACCGAAAACCTGAACGCGCGCGCGCCATCCGCCGGGTCAAGGTGAACGGTGCCGCCGCTGCGTGCGGAAAGGCGAAATAAATTACGTACGTATCGAGTACGACCGACCAACCGGCGTGTTCAGAACCACAAGCCTGTTCCAACAAACTTTCAGCGGTCGTACGTATCTCAGGACCAAGGACTATTCTATAATCAGTGATACTAGGTATTCAATACTAGCTCTTCATATTTCAAACTTGTAAATTTGTAAATTTTAACCTAGACATTGGACAAAATTTCGGGGGTGTACAACCCCTTAACCTTAAAATATGTATGTGTACTTGAAATCGATCTATAATACAAGACAACGCATTTATAATCGAAAATAATAATTCGCATAGGTAGTAATACGAACATTATAAATAATTTTAAAATTGTATCAAATTCCCATAATGTGATAAACAGTTTGTTTTTATTGAATACAATTTAGAACAGTTGATATAATTGTATTAGATAATTAATATTAAGAAAGTAATAATAGTTTTGATAACATTGTGAAAGTAGAAATATATTTTACCGATCAATTGTATCTTTAAAAATGAACCGGTAATGCCATAATAATTATTATCCCCATATTAATTATATATTATATTTTATTAAACTATTATTGATTATGAAACTTTCCTTACTAAAAATAGAAGAATTGATTTAATATATAAATAATTTCGTAGTTAATAAGTTTATTGTTTTATTCGAAGGTTTTATGAGATGTGATTATTAAAATAAAATAATTTTTAAAAAATGATTTATTTTTTGTTTTTTAAATATAATATAGTTTTATGTACTAGATAATGTAATATATATTAATAAATACGTAAGACTTTGTATGTTTAAAATGAAATTTTTACAACAGTGTCGTAGCCTACCATGATTTAATTAACTTACTATTTCAACGCATATGCTAAACTGAAACACACGCTATACCACTAAGTTCATAAATATTTTGTAACCCATAAATTGTACATTATCTATTTATATTTTGTAAGAGATATCTAATTTTTATATTATTCCTATAGAAATAATAAAAAACATTTCAACCTCCTCCCAAATTCTTGAACATGTCTATGATGTTTGGTACACATGTACCGATAGGTACATACTCTGCAGAGTAGAAATATATATATAGGTATATATATATACATATCGGACGATTTGTCGAATGATATTTGAACTCGGCACACAGCCCAATTAAAGGAAGGGAAGACACTGTCCCTTCGTGAACTTGACTAATTCAGCTACGTTTCGCCGTTTATGGCACCATACTGTGCGAATTCATGTTTTTATTCAAAAATCTACATTTATTGACGGATGACAGATATAGGGCGTTAATACATAGAAAATTAAACGCTACAAAAATTACATGAGCTAATATTGAAACATAATAGAAAAAAATATAATTTGTTTTTTTACAGTTGAAATCAGAAAATTTTTTGGAAATATTAGACTTGATAACATTTGTTTAATTTTTATAACAACTAAATGACGCATTAGTATTTACAAGACAGTGGGGCCACAAACACTATAAATTTAATTTTAGATATGAAACATAAAAAACAAGTTTGTGAATAGTTTTTATAGATGATGACTCAAATTAAATAAACGCAATAGATAAGATGCTTACCCAATTATTATTATTATATATTTAATTGTGTTATGTATAGTTGAAAAGATTTCCTACAATTTCTCTTTCGTATCGTTAAATATATTTTTAAAAACTTTTACCTAAACATAAAAGTTAATTCAATCATATGACTCAAATTTTAGACTTTGAGTAAAGTGATGTTTTATTCATACCTACATTTTTAATTGTTTACTTTTGGATAACAATTTTAAATTACAATAATCTCCCGAGATCGAAATTGATGTTATGACTTACAGATCTATATTTATACTTAATTTATTAATTAGATAATGTATTAATACATTTTTATATAAATATAATTTTTATATTTTTATTAAATATATTTACTCTAATACTTCACTAGCCTAAAAGCACAAATGTGTATGATATGTTATCGATTGTGTGTATTTCAAATGTATATTTTGATTTTAACTTACTTACTTATCATAAGATATTTTCGATTGAAATAATAAAAAAAAACCGAATTAAATTTAAACATGTTACGTAGGAATAGGAATAGGAATAGGAATGTTACGTAGAAATATCATCAGTGTTACGAGTATGTGAAAGATCTACTATTTTATTCTGAAATCGAAAAGTTTTTGAATAATAATTATTATTATTTCCACGCATTTATTTTCCCGATTTGGAATTCTGATCTGAGTTATAACGTTTGGTTAAGATTACATTATTTTTAGAAGAGACTACTGCAAATAAAGAAATATTTTCCGAAATAAAACCAAGTCTTTCACCTATGATAAACCACAATTTAAAGTTTCAACAGTTTACTGAATTAACTGTGGAATTAAAAAGTAAAATTTTATATGATTTCAGAAATCGTATACATGAACTACGTAATAGTCACGTTGAATTAAATTAACTCAATAATCACTATTATTGTGCGTCATGAGAAAACAAATAAGGGTGTCGGCTTATATAGTTTCGTTATTCAATGTAAAAAAGTATTCATAATAATAGTTATTAGGTAAGTACCGCTTTAGCAATATTTTAAAATTTTGATTCAAAATTTACAAAATTTAACACCCTTTGAGTTTTACAATTGTCAACTTTTTCGTTTTCAAAATTTCAACAAATGAGTATACTATAATAATATGTAAATGTAGTATGTACAGCTGTATCTTAAACAGAACAACACGTTATTGTATTTGTCACATATAGTGACTGGTTTAGTCGATAGTTACAGTTAAAAAATGCCTATATGCTACCAAACAGTGCTTATAATGAATAATTACGATAACTGGCTAAAAAAATATAGAGGTAATTGATTAGAACCATACGCTGATTTCTAGTAATATAATGTACATACATTTTATCATGCAAATACCTAGGGAGGGGTGATAAAATTTCAGGGGAAACGTGAACATTTTTAAAAAGCAACGAATCATGAAAACGTTAATTTTGATTATTTTGATATTTGAGACATTGATTGAAACTAAGCAGTGTCATTCTTCTTATTAGTTTGTTTCTACTTAATAATAATAAATTTAAAATTTAATATTTAAGAATTAATACTGTATAATATGTATATTGTAAATTATCACGGATATATGAAAACGTAGAACTAAAAAATAATTTATAGAAAAACATTTTTATTTATCTTAACTAAACACTCGCAATGAACGCGAGTACGCAACTACACGAAGTCTGATAAGACATCATGCAAACTTTGACTGAATTTGACACGTGTCTTAAACTTACATATAATACTTATATATTATATAATGTGTATAATGTATATATATATACTTTACATATAGTACTCATAAACGAGCGTACGAATTGCGTCCAAATGTGATATTCATATGTATCTAAATGTGTTGTTTTTCTGGAAAAATGGTTTATTCATTTGTATCCAAATATGTTGCATTTAGGATCTACTGTACCCAAATGTGTAAAAAAATCAAATAACTAACAGGTATAATAGTGTAACTAAGAGAGTTTATATTTATCAATTTTCTGGATTCCTAAGAAGAAAATTATTTTGTTGCATTAATATATTGTTTTTTAAATTATTTATCTTTACCTATTAAGTTCAAATAAACTTGGATTTAAAATCTATGTACAATTATCTTTTTGCACATTTAGAATAAGAATAAAAAATTTATTTCACCAATTGAAATATTTTTACCGATAACTAGTAGCGTTTTGTGAAATAATTCACGATTTTGATTGATTAAAACTCTTACCTTTCGGTATAAACGAAAAAGATGCCTACATGAATACAACCGAGATTCTTTTTTGGAAGCGTTTTAAAAAAAAATTTACATGGTTATGATTAGTTTAAAATAGTTCTAACAGTACAGTATTTATATTCATAATAATAATTTTTCAAACACGGATACTGCATTTCACTAAGCCACCACCAATTGAATGTACTTGCATCAAAAAACATTTTCAGCATATTCCGTTCAATAACAAGCGGGTGAACACACGCGAATAATGCGGGTGGTTACCATTGTTCTGTCAATGTAAATTTCAATATTGTACCCAACAGGAACAAATATACAAATGTATTGTTGCCACACGAGTGTTAAGAATCAAGGTGATAGTATCCTTGAATATTATCCTTAGGTAAACCGTGAGCACCGACCGATTTAACATTAATTGATTTATTTCTATATCTAGTAATAAACAATAAAACCTTTGAGTAGCAGACATTCATGGTCATCTAAATTTTATCCGTTATTCGGAGGTTTCCGCTATTCAGAGATGTAAATTATTGAAATTCATAAAGAATAAATGTGTAAAAGGAAAAAATATGCACTAGGTTAAATTTAATTATATAATGTAATTTAGATGTAATAATATATGTATGTGTAATAATAAAAATAATTATGATTGTACATATATGTATATTTAAAATAAATTGATAAAAAAAAGGAATTGGTACATACATAAATACAATTCAATTTGATGGAAAAAAAAAATCGGTTGACTTGGTTTGTTTATAATTATTCCGTCTTTGTACAATTTCGTTTGAAAGTTATTTGATTAGATTACAATAAAAGAAAAAATATTATTGCTTTCTACCTCTATTGACGACATGAAACGACCTACGTCTTTCACACGGCCAATGTACGCCATAAACTTCTTGGTTGTTCTCATCTGCCTCATCAAGTTAGTCGGGATAAACGGTCGTGGTTTTCGTCGTTAGATCGTTGTCTAAACGGGAAACGATTTTATCCTAAGTAACATAACATTTTAACCTAAGTAACATAAGTAGTAACAAAGTAACATTTACTTCAATACTACTATTAATCATTGCGATGAGTAATATAAGTTCTTTATTAATTTTCAATTCGATATAAATTGATTTTTCATCGCATTGACTATACGTATCGGTGACTAAAGCCCAGGCGCGTACACAAGGAGGTATTTTAAGAGTTCAACCCCTCTGAAATTCAGAAAAATGATTAAATATGTTTTTATAAAGTAAATATGGTTTATAGACTATATATAACCTAACCCCCCCCCCCAAAATAATTTTTTGTGTATTGCCTGTTAAAACCACATGGCAAGAAGCACATTTTTACAGTTTCAGGAATACCACGGACTTGAGCATAAGTTATTCAGTATACAGCGTCCAGAATATTAATAGCGCTTAACTCACTAGCGTCTAAATCAGCAACAGTTTTTTAATATTATCTCAACTACAATCGTGCTGCGAACGGAGAGACCCGCGTAGATATCTGTGTACTCAATTGTTCTGCGATTTTATTAAACAATTGATGATAACATAATTTTATACTAATAGATAATATTTTCTATAGCCGTTATGTGCATACAGGGGCGTATTTAGGGTGTATTTAGGGGTGATATGGGTGTTAGAACACCCCCCGTCGACCATATTCTATGGTATTTCATTAAATTACAAACTTACAGTACAATTTGATAAACGTTGTATACAACTTGTTGATTTTACATACACTGTCTTAATATAAGTATTTTCATTAGTATAATAATTTTATATAAATACATGGTATTTATTTATGTAATATAAGAGGGGGGCAGATCCTCCTACTTACCATAAGCTTATTAAATTTTAAAACACCGTCGTTATATGAATCCTGGATACGCCACTATGTGCATAGAACATGATTATAAAAAAAAAATAAAGATATAATCGTGGCAAAGAGTAAGATAGAGGTAACGCATAGTGGTCCAGAATGAAAATTTGGGGCGTCAAAAGTAATAATAAAAAAATTGTCTTAAGCCGGGTTCACACTATACCGTGACGTGTATTTTACCAGACCGTGTGCTTTGAAAATGTGTGATACCAATATATATCTTATGGTGATGTTATCAAATTTTGGTTACATATTTTTGCAGTTTTTTATTAGATATAAAATATTTTCATAGGTTTCAATAAATAATAACTGATGAATATTAAATTACATAGTAGACAATATGTATTATATTATTATTAGGACTCGGAACTTAATGCACTTAAAAAGTACAAATATGCTTTAAAAATATGCACTTAGTTTTTTTTTAACACAAAAATGTTCATAAGTAAAGATATTTTATTAAATATACTGGTACATAACAGTAAAAATGTTGTTAGTATATTTTACTAAGCTAAACATAATTTCTAGGTATAAATATATAATATAAAATAACATAAAATAGTTTGAAATTTAAAATTTTCTTTCAAAATGTTCCCATTAGGTTTTTCATAGTGTCATGAAAATAATTTCAAGGTTACTTAGCAATAAACTGAATAAATATCCAAATAAAATCATGCAAATGCAACACCTTCCAAGCCTTATGTTATTATGAATACTGTTATCATTGAATATTACTATTAAAATCGGTAACCATACGTTCAAAAATTGAATAATATCACGATTAAAGATAAGATATCTTATCTTTAATCGTGGATAACATCAACTTCACGGTATCTTATGGTTAGTGAGGTAACTTGTGATTTATTAAACGGTATACCTTAATGTAACAATATGGTTCAACCAATCAGAGATAATTATTTTAGAAGACACGACACGGTACGGTGTAGTGTGAACCCAGCTTTATAAATATTATTCTGATAACAAACTGGTAATAAGCTGGTAATAAACTGGTCTATCAAGGTTTATAAATCTATTATCTATAAATCTTGAGCTAATGCATAGATATTAAACATTAGTTTAATATATATGAGATAATGCCACCTCTATCTGTATTGGTGAGTCTTATCACTATTATGTAACTATTTGTATTTTTAAAAATGTTTTAATTTTTAATTTTATAGTAGGTATTCTTGTAATTTTTTACCTATAGCCTTAGAAAATACTTCTCCTTTATTATACTATACTCAGCTGCTTACATCATGTCATCAGCTAAAGAAGTTTTCAAATGTAGCTTTCAATTTTTGGCTGAACAATCAGATAATGGTAAGAAAACTAAGAAAATTGAATAATTATGATTTAATTTGTTATTTTGTGCATTGTTTTATCATTATTTTCATTTCAATTACAAAATGTTAGTTATAGACCAAAAAACTTAGCTTTTATCTAATTGAATTATAATTAATATAAATTATTTAATTTTTTTTAGAAAATTATATTTGAATATAAACAGGCAAATATACAGAAAAACATAAAATTGATTGAACCTAAAAACTACTTAAATTATAAATCAAGACAATGCTTAACCATTTTAAATGAAAAAAAAATCTTAAATAATATTTTAAAGATAACAATGTTATTTAATCACAGTTAAATTAGTGTAGGTTACTTATCTACTTAATCTTATTAATTATTTAAAACTTACATTTTAAATATCATTTTTTTAATTGAAAACCATATTTTGTTTGTAATTTTGTATATTTAAATATATTTTTAACAAGTTATTTAGTACCTGATAATTTAAATTGTTAAGAATCAAATTATGATGTTTCAGTACTATAAAATTGTTCCAACTTTCTTTACTATTGATTTATAGCATAATTATTGTCATATAATCCCATTAAATTATATGTTTTCAGTTGTAAAAGATTTTTTGAGGCTCACGAAAGATTTTATGGACAAAGGACCCAATTCTAATCTTTATAACAAAGCTGCAGGTATTTTTTTATATTGATACTGTGAAAAATAGTTTATCTATTAGTAATATTTATGTGACTACTGTATTAATTTATTATAATTTTTTTATTATTACCTACTTTAAATTATACAATACTGAACATAATTTAGTGGTTCATACCATATGTTTTATAAATAATAAATATAGAGTATTAAGATATACTATGTTAGCCTAATCACTAGATTGCTTAAAAGAGTTATAAGAATATTGATTAGTAAAGTAGAGTGACTATTTGGTTAGTAAATATTAAATTGTAGCATAAATTATATTACAATAATTTTATTTATAGCAGTAACTTGTTATTGATTGTTTCACTTTAGGTAAATTGAGTTTCTTTAAATATTTATAATATAAATATACCAATGTCTATTGCCAAATTTTTCAAAAAATAATAATAACTTGCAGTATTTTTATAATAACTTTAGCTTTTGGTGATAGTTAAACTGTTATAACAAACTATAATATTAATAGCAATAATCAAGCCTTTGCTCTGGAATCGTCCAAGGGGGGTTCAAAATTATCTATGATATATTAGGTTTTGAAATCAATAAAAAAATATACGTTAGAATATCTATAATCAAATATATCAGAATCGAAAATTAATAAATATCAACAAATGTTGGTACAGCTTAAACGATTGACTAGTCAGTGAAAATGTGTTCTAAAATTGGCTGAATTTACACAACATTAATTAACACTGTTAAAACAAAAATAGACAATTATGTATGAATTTTCAAGTTAGTTTAACTCTTATAAAATGATAACTAAGTCTATACTTAGTAAAAATATATGTATAAATATACTAAATGAGGGGTTAAGATTAGAACCCCTTAACCCCCCCTACATGCTTATCAATAATATATAGTTTACAATTGTAATTTATCACAGATTATATAACTAATCAAGATTAAATTATAAATTTGTGATTATAATATAACATGTGTTCTCGAAGAAACCTAATTTTTAATTTATTTGTATGTTTATTAAATGTTCATTACAATATTATATTGAAATAATACCACATAGAATATTGAAATATTGTTAAAAAATTTAAATTGATTTCTTATAGAAAAATTGGAGATTGACGAAGAAAAAATTATTTTAATTATAAAAAGTTTATGTCTGATGTGCGTGCAAAGCTGTAAGCATAGGGTAAGTTGTGCAATGAATGAATTATTATTGCTTTATAATGAATTAATTTATATCCTTAATGGTTTAGTTAACTAATGAAGAGATAAAAGAATCACTTTTGGAATATGGTCTGAATGATACTAAATTGGATATGATAATATTATTTTTTGAAAGTCAAAAACCTTATTTATTAGATATTCTATCATCTAGTGCCTTTGTATTTCCACACTTTAAGGAACTGGAGTGGCGATTTGAAACTGATGTAAGCTGATGTTTAGTGGTTTAGTATTTTTAAATATATTTCATACTATGAAGTTTTCAGAATCAAAATAAAAAATTTGTTAAGATTTATTAACTATAAGCTTATATATTTTTTCCTCTGTCAATTAATTCTGCAGATTGCATAAAATAACGGAAAATAGCCAAAAGTAGAATATTCTTTGGAATTCAATTTTTTAGTTGCATTCGGTGGCATATTTTTGGGAGGGTTTCCGGGTTTTTACCTCCTTCTGCAGAAAAAAAAAGATTTAAAAATTATAAATTACTTGATACAAAGGTTTAGAGAAAAATAATATTAATTTATATCATCATGTGATTGTAAATAACTTAATTTGTATTTATTATACTAATAGAATAATATAATTATCAATTTATACCTTATGTGTATTTTTTATAATATTATAACATTTATTATTTTATAGAAATATATAAAATTGATCCCCCACCATAAAAAATCGAAAATAAGCCACTGTTTGCATTATAAGCATACATTTCAAAAATTGTATAAATTATTTTAAAAACAATTCTTGGTAGGTGTAGAGATTGTAAAATAAAAGTGATTATAAAATATTATTTTGAAGTATATTTAACATAAAAGATAATTAAAAATCATTTTGTATTAATATTTTAAATCTTAACATATGTCTAGTTTAGTATAAAAAGATATAGAAACAAACATTTTTTAAAATATATGAATAATATATTTATAATAGTTAATTAAGATATTTTATGTTTTTTTACACTTAAAATGCTTTTTAAATAATTTTTAGAGGTTATGGTAAATTTTTTTAAAATATAGTCAGGAAAAACTAAATAATTTTAAAATTTTGGATTATAATAGTGAACTATTTTGAAAAATGACATTATTTAGATTTCCTTAACAATTTGAACAATTTTTTTTTTTCTAAAATCTATTTTGTTATAAATTGATCTGATAAAATGTAATCATTTGTAGTTTTTTGGAAGCATTCAAGCACTTGCAAATGTAAAAATCAATCTTTGTAGTTTTGCAAGAAAAATTTTAATTCATCATGTGTAACTTAAAATACAGGATTAAATAAAGCACCAAAATTAATATTTTCTCACTTTGTTCAGAATCATAAATGTTTTTACTTTATCATTAATTGTATATCATTATAAAAATGTTCACTAGCAAATGTTAATGAACTTTAAAAATACTAAAATTAACAAAAAAAAAAAAAAATATATTTAAATGTAATGAGCTTGAAATTAGGGTAAATTTAGTTATTTGATTATAACATAAAATGTGATTATCCCTATTAAATAGAAATTATATTGTATATTTATGTAAAAAATTAAACAAAATGTTTGTAACATATGATACTTGTAAAAGCAATGAATATAAGAAAGAAAAAATTAATTAAAAATACTTACACTAACATTTTTTTTTTTTTTTTTTTTTTATACAAATTTACTTTTGATATATATTCTATGTAAGAATTTTGCTTGTAACTAAAAAAAAAGTTATTTTAAAAACTTATAAATTTTAAATATATGTTTATTTTTTAAAGCATAACAACAAAGTTATAAGTACATTTATAGAAGCAACTAATCATGTTTATGTGTACAGATGGGATCCAGATCATTATTAAGTCAAACAGTACCAGTTGTTACATTGAGATTAGACTTGGAAAAAAAAAATTTTTCCGAATCATTATTCTTACAAACAAATCCATTGAATTTGGTACATATCAAGGATACACTAGAGGCTGCTTTAAAACAGAATCAATCCCAATGGATAAGGAAAATACGTAGAAAATTGAAATGAAGGTATAATTATTAAAAATAATATAAATAAACCTCGATAAAACATATTCAATAGGATTAATTTGAATAGATTCCTTAGACCTTGTCTTCAGATACAGTTGTTTGGGCAGATGCAACTGATTTTGTATCACTCTTATCATCGTCCAATTTTCCACACACAAGACATGGGAACTTCTTGTCCAATGCTAATCTATATTTCGGGTGGCTGAGAGAAAATAAAATGTTTGTTTATTTTAAACACTATAAATTATAAATATTTACCCCTCACCTTATTGCATATACTATTGGATTATACACAGCATTTGCTTTGGCGAAAACCGATCCCCAGATTGAAAATAATGGATCAATTGTCATTAATTGAAATATTCCAGCAAAGTTAATTACTAAATATGGAGTCCAAGCTAAGAACCATAGGGAAATTGTCATTAAAGCTACTTTAGCCAACTTAAATTCTGCACTAGTATTGCTTTGATCTCCAGATCTCAAAGAAGTTACATTCATTTTTTTTGCTTGTTCTCTCATTGATTTTTCATGTGTAGCTACTGCCTATTTCGAAATATGATTTAAATGATATATTTTTACTTATAGGTTTTATGAAACTTACCTTCACAATGAAATAATATGCGTAAATGATAATCAACAACGGCAAGAAGTATGCAAAACATGCGTATATAAAAACATAACTACGACTGTGCCACGTCATAGTTAAGTAATCAGTTCCACATGCTGTCATATTTGCTTCTGGTACATATCTATAACACATAAAATCACCTTTAAAATGAATAAAAAATTTTTTTCATTTAATGTAAATATTTTTACCGGCTCCATCCGAAGAAAGGTGTCAAAGTCCAGAACAGTCCATGCATATATATACAAAATATTTTTAATAAAGCTAATTTGGTTGTCATTGGTTTTGCAGATAACCCCTAAGTATAAAAATTGTATTTTATCTTAAAAAATACATAATATAAATAATTTATGCATAGTATGTGTTTATAATTTCTTACCTTGACTATTACATTATAACGGTCTAAAGCTATGAAAACCATTGTCCATATTGATGTGACTCCAAATAGTGATCCAAACATAGCATATAGCTCACAAGCAAAAGGCCCTTAAAGTTATTTTATGTAATAAATTAATAAAATAATCTCTTAGATAGGTATTTATGTAATACCGAACATCCATGTTTCGTATATACAATTCCAAACCATTGCCGGACACATGGAGAACATCAAACAGAAATCAGAAAATGCCAAGTTTACTACCAGCAAGTTGGAAGGCGTTCTAAGACTTTTTGTACATGTAAATATGTAAATAACCATTCCATTTCCTACACTCGCTATAACGCCCAAGAAGAAAACAGTAACGCCTAACCATTTGTACCACATTGAATCCATTGGAGGGAATTGATACCTTTTGGAAATATATTTTTAGTTATTAGTTATTATATTACTATAATTTCCTTACCAAGTAGGATCGATCAGATGAAACATGTCTGGTGTAACTCTGTCAACTACTGTTTCATTTCCAAAACCTCCTTCAGCCACGCCGCCCCAAACCATTTCTTGGCGTTCGTAATGAGATCCAATTTTATTTAACATTCTGTAATACCCAAATGTTTTTCAAATATTGCCAGATCGATAGTAATGTAAACTTACTTTGTGAGTGTGCTAATACGTAGTAAAACAATTATTTATAGCGTAATGCTATGAGTTTACAAATTTTAACAAATTTGAAAAGCCATTAATGTATAACACGTTTATTTTATTAATGTCCCAGTAGTATATGACCATTAAATTGAATTTTGTAGTTGAACTGATGTATGATTGTTCTCCGAGAGCTCGTCCAAGAAAGGACTAATTTTCTTACACCTCGTTACCTTTTTTAAATAAGAGCCTAGGATCGAAACCCTACCGATGCCGTCTTCTACCTGTCTTAAGGGTGTAGTACTTTTAAACAGATTATTCCTAATACTGATACCAAGGTTTAGGTGTATTGTAGGGTTTTACTGAACGACTTGGACATTATGTAAATTTGTATTATCTCATGCAATGAGTGTTATTAAATTTAATTATGTCATGAAAATAATACCTTTTCATAATAGGTTCTTTGTTGAATTCCTAAATAACTAAGGATTATATTAACTCAATTTTTCTACCAAAAACAGCACTAGGTACTACAACGTCCTTTATCATCGATTATTGTAGTTATTAAAATTATCTTCCCTGAAATTTTTATTATTTTGATTTCTAGTTTAACAATTACGATTAAAATTATTTTGACCTGATTTTGACTCCCTTGTGTTATATTTAACTTTTCAATGTGGTTTTTTAGTACATATATTTCTTTGCGTAATTCCTTTACATCTCTATTCAAGTTAATGTTTTTATTTCTAATTAATTTCGATGATTCTACATGTTTTACATTTTTTTCTAAATATTTCATGTCGAGTTGTCTTAATATCAATTTTTTCAAAAATTTCATCAGGTAAATCGGCCAACATTTTTTCAAAGATTTCTGCTTCTTCTATTTGTAAATCTATTTTATTACGTAATTCAATGATATTTATTTAAAACTCGTTAATTGTTTCCTCTTTTTCTAATTTTCTTTGATCTAGTTGTATTTTTAATTATTTTTTATTCTCAATCGCAGTAAATTTTTTTATAATTTGTGTTTTTACACTGTCCCAAGTAATACTAGGATTTTTTTGTTTTAATTATTTTAAAAAATATTCCTGCTGTATTTTAATACCGTAATTTTTTCATATTCTCCCCATTCATTTATGATTGATGCTGGATCAAAATGATCAAAAAAATCAGCAGGTTGGATGCACCGAAGGTGTTGGTGGTCAATATATAAGATTTATGGCTTGTCAGCGATAAGGTTTTGTTTTTATTTATAAAAACAAAATATTTACAATAATTAGAGCAATAACATAGGTAAGTATGTACATAACGTGTAAGACTTGGGGAGAAAGGTCTATGGGTGGATAGACTAACAAAATATATGTTCACCTAGAGCCACATTCTTCCCTAATAAGCCAACACTCAAACAAGTAGACTGCCCAATCGGTCCAGTAATGCCACTCCTAGCAATGACTCGGTGGTAGTTGCTCGTCGTCGACAGTGCCGTTATTTGCTAGTTCTGGCAACTGGCAATAATCGTCGTTCGTTGATGATAGGTGTCACCAGCTATTCCACAAAGTTCCCGAATCCGATGTTCAATAGGTCGTTTTGAGTGTTTTAGATGGAATTACGTTTCGGATAACAATATTCCTACTTCAAGAAAAATTGAAAATTTAGAAATTCATTAGATTAGGTACCTATCCGGTTAGATGGTTACTGTTGAAATCTCACCGAATACATTGGAGTATTAAATAAAAAATATTAAAAAATATTAATTACTTATAAAATGTAATTTATCAAAAGAAAATAATTTAATTTTTATATTAAATTATCCTACAAACAGTGTCGGTCTGGCTCAACCGGATACCCGGCAATCTCAGACTTATTCTTAAAATAGTGGCCCAACTAATGACGGATCCACGTTATCCACAGTTAAAGTACTGTGGGTCAGGTTATTTCAAGAGACCATTTATTAGAGCTAAAAGTAGATTATAAATGAATTCCTTGTAACAAAAAAAAAAACAATATGATCATATAATATTTGTTTTTTACAGGGATGGAAAACGTTTTTAATTTCTTCATTTTTGTTTTTGTTTATTGATTTAAAAATTATCGTTTTTGTTTAACGTTTTTAAACATTTTTGATTAAAGTTTTTAAAAACGTTATTTTCTTATTGTTTCCATATAACATTTTTTATAATTATATATATATATATATAATAAAAAAATATATAATATATTCTTATAACTTATAACTCGTAACTTTTAACTTTTAAGTAATAAGAGTAACGCCCAATATAGAAATGCATTTAAAAGTTAAAAATTCAAATTAATTATCTTTAATATTTAAATTTTAAATCAAAATTATAATTTATATAAAATTTAGAAAATTAAAATATTTTTAAATTTTAAAAGTGCATTGCTAAAGATTGAAAACCAAAAAGTATAGACTTAAGTCTTACAGATATTTACTTTTTTTTTTCGTGGTATAAATAATTAAATAATGTATAATACTATAATTTATTTCCGTTTTTGTTTTCGTTTTTTGTTTTGTTTCGTTTTCGTTTTATTAATTGTTTTCATTTTTCATTTTTTTCCGTTTAATAATGTTTTTTAAAAACTTTTTCCATCCCTGGTTTTTTATGTAGATATTTATTGAATCTCCTCCAATATTATGTTGTTTATAGGCCCATTGTCAGATCCGGCTCAAACATTATTTACACATAGGCAAACTTAAGTTTTGACACCCCCTACAAGTAAATACTACATCAAATATTATTTTTAAATAAATAATACTAAAATAGAATAAAATAGTAGGTACTGGGAAACGCAATATATTTTTTAAAATTATCCATAGTTTAAAAATGTTAAATGCCACCCTAGGCGTGGGCCTATGTCACCTACACCTTAAGTCAGGCCTGCCCATTGTACCTTTTTTGGCGGAAGCCCAATCATGAGCCAGACCGACACTGCCTACAATGCATATTGTGTATCAGTAATACATAAGTTTATTTGAAAAAATTATTATTTTCGATTAATTTGTCATTATTCATTACTCAACTTTAAATTAAAATATCACTTTTTTTTTTTAAAAATATTGCTTCATAAATGTTTTTATGGGTTATGGTTACAATTTCAAATTTAATAATTTTAATTTTAAATGAAACCGATCTCTTTCAGTTGGGTTACAGTCCCTGTGTTAAAGTTATTTGTGCTGTATTAAAGATGATATTTACTGATTATTACATCTGCTTGAATAAAAATAATTTATCATATTTAAATATTATGTATAAATTAAATATGCGAGAGAAGTGTTGATTATTAAAAATGTTTGGCATATTAATTTGAAAATGATTATTTGTATTCAGGGACGTAATTAAGGGGAGGGATTAGGGGGGTGGATCCTCCCTAAAACTTAATTTATGTAATTTTTTTTATGTATTATATTGTGATAATATGATTATTATCATTATTATTATTATTACGATTACTATTATTATTATTATTATCACCATTAAAATTTAAATTATTAAACATTTTGTTCTGGTGAGGTGGGGGTGGGGGGTTGCTGTATGAGATGTACAGATTTTGCCAAAACCTATAATCCTCCTCCAAACCAAATTCCTAATTACGCCACTGCTCGTATTGCAGCGTCAGGTTACCCTACAAGCAAAGTAATCAGGTGATTGGAGCGGCAAATTTGCCACACTTAAGAAAAAAAAAAATGTATTTATAAAATTATATTATAATTTATGAATATTAGTCATTAGGTTATTAACTCAATGAATACTGAAATGGTTTCGGTGAACGCGATCAACTAGAATTGTTATTATTAGCGAATCTGTTTTTCCCGAAAATTGTTTATTTAAATATAAACATAGTTATACATTATGGCGATACATTCTGAGAATGCAAATATTCACGATTTTTGATCAACATAGACAAGAAATCAATTGATACCTATGATACCGTGCAAGGAGCCAAAAAACTTCAACAATTTTGTGAAACGGACATTGATGAAAACACATTTATACAAGAATGCATATATTTCAAAACATTTTTTAAAAATCAGAGTATAGAAGAACTATTTCCGAATGTTAGCAATCGCTTTAAAAATATACTCTTGCATGGCGGTTACTAATTGTTCAGCAGAAAGATCGTTCTTGTGTCTCAAAGAACTAAAACTTATTTAAGATCTACTATTGGCGAAAATCGGTTGAATAGTTTGGCTTTCATGTGCATAAAATCCTACAAAATAATACATATATTAGTATTTAGTATTATTAGTAAATATATAATTGTACTTATACAGTTAAAACACTATTTATTAATATATAAAGAAGTAATAAGTGAAATACAATATTTGATTTTCCAGAATTCCAAATTTTTTTTTCTCGAAATATTGGAAAAAAAATTTTTTTATTACAAAATCTTATTTTAAGTTCTTCGTAATTATTTTATTTTATATTATGGTTTTATTTATTGTATGAGCTGTTATTTACTGATTATTATTTTATTTACTGATTTATTGTTTATTATCTATTTAAATCGTTAAGTTGGAATCTTTTATTAAAGTTTTCGGCTATTTTGGGAGCCAATCGTTAGCTTAATTAATTCATATCTGCCAAAATAATGACTTAAAAAAAAAAAGAAATCTAAGCTTCATCACGCAATAAAAACCAATAAAAAAATATTAAAAAATAAAATTTTACTGCAGCACTATAGTTTATTCTGGAAAAATGTACTAAGCGGAGTGGGGAAAAAAATGAACAGTATTAAAAAATGTATATAGTATATTTAAAAATATCTAAATATCAATAGAGAAATAATATAAAAAATTAATTAATTGAAAAACAATGAAAAATTGATTTTATATTATAAAAATAAAGTACACTATTCATTTTTAATACCATAATATTATATTATTTTATTTCTTTAATTGTCATAAAATTTAACTTTGTTCCTAAAACTACAACTTACCATACATAAATGTATATCCTATCTGTATATATAGCTCCCTTCGTAAAAAATTTTTGGATCCGCTCGTGCCCCGGTTTCATAATAATTATGAAACCGGGGCACGGGTATCATAATTATTATGATAATTTAAAAAACTTTAATTTTTCAGTAATTTTATATAATATATATTTTATGAAAATGATTAGCAACCCATATAGATAAATAGTTCATTTTTTAACTTTCAATATTCAAATTCTACTAAATAGGAAAATTTGACTAACTTCTATGGGTTTGCAGGTTTACATGTATATTAACATATTTAATATCTATATTGTAATATACATAATGTTAGCATCAACTTAACACTGATGTTAACAGTAATTGATTTACGTTAATGCATACAACAATCACAAGAACTAAAATCATAAAATAAACAATGGTTTATTTAAATTAAAATAATTAATTATTGTTGCTTATTTCATGCGATCTCGACCATCTCGATGACTATCTATTTCATTATTATTTGATACTTTACTGTCGGAAGTAGGTCAAGTATTATTTATTTTATTTACATTTATAGAATTATATAAATCATTTTAACTTGAATTACATATGCCTTAAATCAAATAAAGAATTAATAATAGTTCATAAAATATTTAAATAAAGCAATAGAAACTAGAAGTAAATAGGTTATAAATTTAAATTATTATGTAAACGATTTTGTAATATTTTAAAGAATAAAATATTAAAGAAATTTAATAAACAATAAAACAATAATACTTGATGAAACAAAGCTTATTCACATATAAATATGCTAATATGCTAATAAAATAATTAAAATTTAAAAGATAATATGAATAACATAATTTGCAAGGTAAGTTATATAATTTAACTGAAGTACTTTCCTTTTAATATCTTTATTTTTCAGATTTAGCATTTTAAAAGCGTTTAAATAACCTCAATGATTTTCTTAATTTTGTAGTTTCATTTTTTTTATAATGATTTAAGGTGATCAAATTTATTTTTAAATTATTTGATCCTTAATTAAAATTGATATGAATAATTTTACTAAGGTTTTATTACTTATATTACTTTCGTAATACTCGTAAATATATCATATAACCATATAACCGTATATCAAACCCAACTATTAATTTGTAGTTACATTTTGCCTAACATATAAATATTTAAAATTGCGTAAGTATTATAATTAAGATTAATGAGCAGGTACTAACTATTGTTAAATTGGGATTATAAAAATGGATTATACTGTATTTTAATGCTGGTATTTTGGTTTGAATATGTTATTACTTTTAAATTAGGAATTGCATTGCGAATGAAATAAAATTGAGTTAAAAAAAAAGATTAAAACTTAGTCACTGACGTTTTTTAAAATGTTAAGATGCATCATAAATAGGTATTGGTGTATTAGTAACGTATCTAATCTAATTAGCATTACAATGAACACTTGAGATTACAATTTACGGCTACAGGTATTTTACATAGCATACATATCTGCGAGTAGAAATTCTGCGTCATTGCAGTGACAGTAATATTTGTAACTTATGCGTAAAACGTTTAAGGTAACATTAAAATTGTGAATTTTGTGTTTGGTCAATTATATTTTACGAAGACATTTAAAAAATGATTGGTAAGCAATATAATTTTTTTTCGTTATTTATCTAATTTCATGAGAATTTTCAATTACTATTAATTATTTTAGTTGTATTTAATATATTTTTAAAAATTATTTATTCTTTTATTTCTTTTAATGTAGATAGGTATTCAGTAATATGAGCGTTAGTTTATCATGTACATTTATAATTTATTTTTGGTCACATATAATAATACAATGTCAATATGTCATAACATTTTGTTACACACAGCATATAAATGGTATATGAAATGTTCAGATTTAAAAACCAATATACTTTATTTTAAGTTAACAAGATGCATTTATTACAGGCACTTACACAAAAAATATTTTTCGGGTATTAGGTTTTACATTTTCATACTTTAGATATAGATTATTCATAGATTATTAAATCTATAAATCACTTTTACTCTATAAAAACAAATATTTAATAATTTTCCTGAATTTCTGGAGAGGAGGTTGAACCTCTAGAACACCCCTTGTATATGTGTCTGATTTGTTATACAGGCAAAGTAGCAAAAAGACAATTTTAAATACCAATAAAAGTTTCTTTTTTTTTTTTTTTTAACCGACAACCAAATATTTTATCAAGTTTTTAATTAAACTATAGATCTTAATGCATCGACGAAGTAATTTACTGTACAGAAATGAATAGACGTAACTAAGACAGTTACTTAACGTGCAAACCAAGTACTGCACATCATTTTATTGATCATCTATATTTTTTTAGGAATTTTGTAAATTTTCAAAATCATTTTTTTGACGAATTTCCATTTTGATAACCGATATGATATTACCAATGTCCGGTATGTATTCTACATGGAAGATATGTTATCAATTTAAATTGTATCTCGTCCTTGTGATGTTTAAATTAGAGCTCGGAAGTTATTGCCGCAAAAAATTAACAATAAGTAACATACAGCGATAATATATTTTCTTCTTAAGGATTTAAAGGTGATTTTAGTTTAATATTACCGACAGAATAATAGTTTGTATGAAATAAAATACATGTTGTCACTTGTCAATCGTATTAAGCTGTGATTAAGGATTTTATGGAACATTGACTCGATTAGTATTTGAAATGAAGACGAAATGTATACTTATTTCTCAAAAATGAAATAGAAAAATTATGATTTTATCGTTATAATACTAATAAAAAAAAAAAGGTTTATTTATGATTACCTAGCTAATGCATACGCGTATGACTCTACGACAATATACGTAATTATATATAATAGAAGTCATTGCTCCACGTATAAGCGTCTTATCCCAAGTTGTACGTTCGCAGTTACTTTCGAACACGTAGTATTACAAAGCTATGTTAGACCTTTTCCGAAAGAAGTTCCGAGCTCTAAGCTTATTGTATTTTAATACCGTAAACCGCGACACCGTTAAAAACACAAGTGATATTATTTCCATAACTCTTACAGGTGGTTATGGGTGGGTTCCAGTCGAACATCCGAACACGTTAATGTGGGTCCCGTGCGATTCTGGCGACCCGTTGCCCAGGGGCGCCGTGCACGTGGGCATGGACAAGAGCGGCGATCGGTTGTACGCGGGTCGTGCTTTTCACGAGGGCGACTTATTGCCGGCAAAAATAAACCCGAGTCACTCGACGGCATACGTGTGCTGGGGAGGCATGGAACACGCCATGAGCCATTTTGAGGTCATATCAATTACTGTTAATTTTAATCGTTTAAGACCCGCCGTAACATTCTAACGGAAATCGTGTACAATTTCACTTGTTAAAGACCTGGTTTTTTTTTTTTTTTACGAGTATGAACACAAAACATTATCAACCAATATGTGCGTTTAATTATTTAATTCGTCATGTTTGTGGAGGTTAACGTTTTTTTAATCAATCGCGTTTATTAATAGGTACCTACACGGCATTTGTTTGAACTTAATCCGCCGCTTATCTAATCTCATACAGTCTTAGCAGTTATTACTACTCTTATTATTGTATACTACTCTTACAGTTAAATGTCTTTGTTTTCTCTTGTTCAAACATGAAATATTATTAATCTTTAACAAATTTTAATTCATATCACATAATTACTTTCAAAATTGATAAGTGAATAAAAGTGACGAACAAGATAGTTTTATTTACTTTTGTTCATTTTTATACTATAATTTTATGTCTGATAGTTATTACAGCTTTAAAACTTGATTTTGTAACCATTTAAAAACCTATTAAATTTGCAGGTTTTATGTAACGCAAGCGTGGCGTGGCAAAGTATTCATGGAAACGCTATTCCACCCAACGCTATCGTGATAGGTTCCACCGTGGATGGTGAAAAACTTTACATGGGCCGTGCTCTTCATGACGGAACATTAACTCCGGGAAAAGTAATTATAGTTTATTTAAAATAACGATAAACAAATCATATTATTGTATTCACCTCCTAATTGCGTATGTCCGTAGACTGTTTACGTATGAGAGCATTTATAGATTACGGTGGACGGTTATAAGAATTTATTTAAAATAAGTAATTATACATTATTTGCCCTTCAATATACATTTTTAATGTAAGTTTTTATGTAATGTTATATGTGCATTTATATCAATAATATTTTCTAAGTTTACCCGTCCTGTATAGTTACATATTCATATAAATGATAATTATATTTTCTAAAAAATAATACATTTTTCATTTTATTTCAAAACTAGTATTTGTGTGAATTATTTAAAATTAATAATGCTAATATCAAAGCAGAGAAAAAAGTAAAATAGGTTTAGAAAAATCGCTAAAAAAAGAATTATTAAAAAGTAATTTTTGTGTTTAATGATTTTTTTAACGACGGAACGAACGAATTCTAACATGTCAAACCATTGACATTATATATTTATATACCTAGAGACGTATAAAGGGAGGGGTACTTGAGCCTCGGGCCGTACATATTGGAGAGCATTTTGATATAATACGGTGCCTAGGTAATTTGGGTAATAAAAGTAATGATACTAATACAATTATTATTGTAGCATTCATTTGAGGAACATGAAAAGAAACATGCATCATTCCTATTAATATATTTATACAATATATTATATTGATATCATCAATATACCATCAGGAGTCATGATATAGAATATTATAACTTACTATAAAAAAGAAAAAATTGTTTAAGAATTGAAATACACAGAATATATGAAACCAGAATGGAAACTGATTAAATATTACATGGGCTCTTTATGGCTTTTTATAACCAAAAATATTTCGTAGACACGTTTAAAAGTCGTGTTGGTAACTATCTTAAAGTTCATAACGTTTACCGGATTAAAAACTCGTTATCTATTACCTATATTCGTATTCACAAACATAAAAAATAAATATTCTGCTCATAATATTATGATTCTTATCATATTTTAGGGAATTGTTTTATGTTAATTAAAATATTCTTATACATATGGGGCATTTTATATGTGAAGGAAGTTTTTTTTAAATGTTGTAACTTATCCTATTATATTGAGTTTTTTTTTGTATATGTAATAATAAATATGCCAACTATAATTATGTAATATGTGATTTAATAAATTAATTTTTTTATATATATATCTACTATCTACCTAGTATGTATATTCAGATTTTGAGTGTAGCGAAAAATGCATTGGTTTTACTATAATTTGTTTTTTTTTTTTACAAGTACACTTATTGTTAAAGAAATTTAGGTTGGGAAGGAGACGAATTTTTTTGTTACTTGGGGCGCAAAAATCCTAAATACGTTTTTGCATATACCAATCAATTATTTTAAAAACAATAGTTTGATTGTAAATAAAATTATTACGTTTTTAATTTTGTCATTGTATAAGATATTTAAATATATAAATAATAATCCTTTTTTTTTTTAGATTCAACCCAGTCATAATTCGCTTTATATACCATACAATGGAGAAGAAGTAGCTGTAGATGAATATGAAATCATGGTTTTCCGGCCACCTATGACGATTAATTAATAATTATGATAAAACTATTTTTTTGCTTCTAAAAATCGTATTATTTTAGAAGTTATTTCGAATTGTATAATCGCTTGATGGCTTAATCAATATATTATTTACATGGAATTTTTAAATAGTTGTTTTAATTCATTTTAAATATTAGTATTTAATTGTGCTGTGTTTGTAATAACTTTGGTGCATCAATATATAAAATATAAAAAAAAATATAAAAAATTTGACTTAATTTTATACATATTTAGATGGTTTTTCATCTTTTAATTCTTTACAACGGAATTATTAATATTTATTTTATAATTTGCATTAACATATTATAGTAATCCAATTAATTATGGTACATTTTAATTTAAAAACAAAGCTGCATTGAATTATATTATGAATTATACTACAAATATCTACTTTACTTATTTATTATTTATGTACATGTTTGACTATTTAAATATTAACCAGCAATTATATCCAATAAAAATACGAGTATTACGTTAATCGTATTTTTAACAATAATTTATAGTATTATACGAACATTAAAGTAATAAAAAATTAAATTAGTTGAATTTATGACTGAAACGTTCAACAAAGGTAGTGATTCTTCTGAACATTGTTATTTTTTATCAGCTTTTAGTTTTTGTTTTGGCCCACAGATGTCGTTGTCAATACATAGTCGATTCCTAGTCGAAATAAGTTGTAGGTAGTAACATTTAAAAACCCTTATTCCCTAACAGTAAAAAATATATGCTTTCTATGTGCTTTATATTTAAATCGACAATGGCAAGGGTCAAGGATATTGTTTTACATACAAATGTATCGAGCCGCAATATTTTATTTATTAACTTACAGCTTATAATTTGACTATTGATTAGGTCAAAAATTACAAAATGTTTATAACTATACGTTAGACCACTTTTTAATTGGTCATGGGATACACATTTTATTTTATTCTTAATATCTTTGTTAATTAATTATTATTTATCTCATGGGTGTATAAGGGGTTTAGTGTCAAACAAAATGTGTTGCCGCGCAAGGCGGTAAGTTTTTATTGATCACCATATACACACGAATGAGAATCAAACTCATTGAGTTAAAGTAGTTCACGATTTTTTATTAATCCATCAGATTATTCTAAAAATGATAAATGACCAGTGATGTTATAGAAACTAGGGGCTATTGTGTAAAATTGTCTTGAGTTTATTTATTTCGTGCATCTTGTGGAAAAATGTGAAATTATAGCCTGGCTCGTAGCTTATTGTTGTTCTACAATACTCTTCCCGACCCATTTGTGAACCATTACTAAAAGTGATTATTTACAATGACGTCATCCACGATTGCATGTGTATTTTTCCAAACAGACTTTGTTTAGGGGTGAAGGGGCTTCTAGTCACTTAAGGATTTATCGTTTCCATCCTGTTAATAATAAGACTACTGTAAATTATACTACCTATATGTATGCTTTCAGAACATCGTATATTTTACGCTTTAAATTACTCAAATATTTTAAACCTAATTAGAGAAAAAAAAATTGAGGTTAAAATTAACTAACTAAAAATCTGATTTTATGCTATAACTTATAGCAGTGGTTCTCAAACTTTTTTATTCACAGAGTTCTTATGCTCCTAAAAATTTTACGAAGCTCCAAAAATCAGGAATTTTTATTTGTGGCAATAATAATTATAAATTTTATATTAAGAAAAACACACAGTCTAAAATATAATTTTTTTTTTTTTTAGAAGCTCGGATTTTGTCATTTGCTGTGAAAATTATGGTCATTTTACGATGTATTGATAAATTTACTTCGTTTAATTTTGTAAAAATATCAACCAAGTAATAAAGTCGGAATAACCAAATTATATCAGAAATATGAGTAATAAATTAAATGGGTTTTACGAAAACGAAAAATTCATTACACAATTCAAGTAATCATACCAGTTTTTTCTTCGATTATTAAGAAATATAATAATATTTAAATTGAATTAATTCAAATTTGTCCATGGCTCCCTAGGGCTTCGTGGAGCACAATTTGAAAACTGCTGAATTATAAAATTATTAATGTACTATATAATAATAAAGTAATATATATATAATATAAATATTAAAAATATTAATATATAATGTAAATGTAAAAATGAGAAAAATTAATAAACTTTGTCTATTACCTTAATAACTCCTAAAAATTTAAAGTATTTTTAAATTTATTTGTGTTATAATGCTTTTTTACTATGCTTTTTATGTATAATGAATGTATATATTGTAAAGTTTTCAAAATATACGAACATATGTTGTACTTGAAAATTCGTATAAATAGTGAAAGAAATCAGTATATTTTTAAAATAAAAGCCTAACTTCTCTTTTATTTATCGATTATTTATATTTTAAATATGGAATTTAATAAAATCTATTTAGTTTAAATCGTAAATCAATATTTTTAACAAAATATATGTTATAATTTAAGGATATTAGATAACACAACAAAAATTGATTTTTTGATTTTAATTATACATTAAAAGTGTATTGACTGACTAATGTTTACAAAATGTACGCATATTCCTCGAAGCAAATTTATAAAAATTTTAAGGATTAGTGAATCAAATTTACATTTAAATTTGTTAATTTAATGCTAAAATATTAGATATCATATATTTTTTGCTTATTCATGAGACATAACTGAAATTTAAACATTAAATTTATGATAGAAAAATATTTATACAACATTTTACTACACCTATATAAATATTTATACAATTTCTTACTTTTATTATTATAGTATTATTTTGCTGAATCATTTATAGATAATACATTTTTTTTCTTTTTAGGTAATTCTATTGTACTACAACGAAAGCAACTTGTCCTGAGTAATATCTGAATCAAAATTAATTACTCATTATTTTACCCATTCTTACATGGTACATTACAGTATTCACTATCGAATAAAATAATATACATATAGATATTATATACTTATGCATTGTTTACATGTATCAATTTAATTTTGAAATAATCAACAATACATTTGTCTTCTGTTAAATAAAATCAATTCTAATATGATGTGACTGGATAAAATAAAATTAGTATGTATTTGGTGTAAGTTATACGTAATTAAAACTAAAAAAATCATCAACTATTTAACATCGACATCATTTAATACTAGTATGTGAAGCTACAACATTTCATACAAATATCATTCTTTGATAATTAAAAACACTAAATCTTGCGGTTTATCGGCTTTTTTGATAGATAATAATTTTCTAGTGATTGCTATGTATTGTTAAAATATTGTACATATTGGCTATTTCTATGTAATTAAAATTTGTTACAATTTGATGGTTGTATTTGGTCACGCATCAGGTGTCAAAAAATAATTGATTACGAGTGTAACATTCATTTACGACTATGATTTATGTTCAATCAACATTTTTTTAAATGAAATATCTAACTGGAATTGCTCACGATCAGATATGATTAAATATGATAATTTATCCACGACAATATAATATTGACTACGTATTCGCTATTATACACAGGTATGCGTGGGACGTGATATTATTTTTTCATTAATCCTTAAATATCATATTATGTATTCGTGCATAATAATCTATGTATAACGTGGTTATCATCGTTGAAATACCACTATATATCTTTACACCATTAGTCGGCGAAATAGAAAATTCCGATGACTCAAGATCAGTGGCGTAATCGAGAATGTTTCATGGGGGAAGGATCAAAATAAATTTGTATGGCAAACTTGTGGGGGCATTACCCCCACACCTCTTTTATCTAAAGTTATCGAAAGTAAACGTGGAATCGAATCACTAGTACTAAACAACTTTTAATTTTTTATTGGATTAGTTAACAAATATCAACTAATTTTATATATAGTTACAATTTACATAACTTAAGTATTGTATATCATAATATATCATTTTTTTCACATTTTTTAAATAAAATTTAACATTTTCCAACTTATGTTGTATATATATATACCTTTACATTTATTGAATTAATAGTATATGTTAAATAAAATTATTACTGTGCTATAGCTTTTAATTTAAGCGTAGTATACAATTGTTTTGGTAAAAACGTGGTCAATAACTCATTTGGTGGAAAAGGAAAAGGTCTACTTTTGGTGGAAACGGGCATCGCTCAATTTAACATATGTACCTTCAAAATTTTTAGAATGGATTGAAAATCTTTCTTCTAGTTGTTGTATAAAAAAGTCCAAGAAAAGTATAAATACTGACACTTTGTAGTATTCTTCAACACTTAAATTGGGATCTGGGTTTGCTCGATTTACTTGTTGCTTAGATATTCTTTTAGTACTCAAGTCTATATTTATAATTACTGACATCTATTACAAATATTAAATATAAACATAATTCTTTTCATATAATTCATATAATAATATACTTTATTTTAGTATACTTAATTTTGCAAGCAAAAACAATTTGTGGAATTCAGTTTCACAATTTAATCTGATATTTTTTAGTACAATAATAATATCTTCAACAAGGCTTACTGCTTCTCTTAAATTATTTTTTTCTTTTTGTAGCAATTTACACAATGGTAATCCAAAAGAAAAAACCAACTAGAAAAATATTTTATTATAAAATAAAATAAATTATATTTATTAATTACTATTTACTTGTATAACTTGTAAGAATATAAGAAATTCTGAATCAATAGCTTTTAATAGTATATTAGCTTCCGTTGAAGTGGAATCATTCCAATTATAAATATTTTCTCATAATTCAACTACAAATGCAAATAGTTCAATGAAATATGTTACCGCATCATAATGTTGCACCCATCGTATAGCACATAATCTTTTTAAAGTTTTAACCTTAGGATCCTCATTACTATTTTCAATGTTGGTTAAATGAAGATTTTGACGTTTTGATGTATTAAAGAAAACATACACATTTACAGATAAATTTTACGGTTTTTTTTTTTAGTTTCGTAATAATTTATAACTTTGTATTTGTAGGTTTAAGACAATATATAAATACAGCTCATGCCCCCCCCCATAGGGTGATCTATCCCTCATACCCCACCACCGTAATTACGCCTCTGCTCAAGATCAAACATTTAGATCATCCTACTCCCATCCCATCATACATTATGTACG